AGTCACTCTGAAATTGTCTGTTCACTCAGTCATTCAATGAACATTCCGCAGTGAGAAGGTGCCAGGTTTGCTCTTCAGGGAGTTCTCTTGGCCACTGTTTAAAGAGGTGATTAAAGGGCCAGGAGGTAGAGAGAGATCCACAAGAAGACATGCGATAGCTCTGGGGACAGAGATAAAGCCTGAAGAAGGTGGCCAAGCAGAGGGAAGGGGAGGGAGAGGAAGATCCCCAACTCTAAACTCACTGGGAAACCTGTGATGATCCTATCCCCTCTTCAGTCTAGTTTCCCAAGTGCTTTCACTTCCATCATTGTAGCACCCCCAAGCTTTCTCCCACTGGGTTGAGTCTGAGGGCTGGATTTGATAAGCACAGAGCATAATGTGGTAGCTAAGAACACGGGTTCTGGGTCAGACGCCGGGGTTTGGATCGTGGCCTGCACCTCCTGGCTACAAGACCTTATACGATCTACGTAAGCTCCTTGTTCCTTGGTGTCTTCATCTCTAAGATAATATAGTGTTGGGCAGATTCCATATTATAGCAGAAGGAAAAAGCACATTTGATAAATACTAGGTACCATTATTACTATTATTATTATTCATAGCAGAAAATCGAGAAAGAAGGAATTGAACACATAGAAAATAAACAATTCCAAAAGTTAACAGAAAATTTCCCTGAACTAAGAGAAAACTTGAGTCTTCAGACTAAAACAGTGGAAGTTAGTACCAGGAAAAATTACAAAATGAGAACAGACAACTAGAAATAATCTGGTGAAATTTCTAAATTCCAAAGATTAGACGGAGAAATCCTGCTCGTTTCCACAAAGGAATGTGAGGGCCCCGAGTGAGCGCGGCACCTGTCCCAGCCCCGGATGCTGGGATGACGATGCGCTGCTCCCCAGGTTTCTGGGGAGACAGACTGCTAGTCTGGAATCCTCCACTCAGAAAAAGGGCAAATGCTTTCAGACTTACAAAGACTAAGAAAGCACGCTACCCTTGGACCCTTTCTGGAAAAATCACTCGAGAAAGCTCTCCACATTCAGAAATGAGTCCAATTCAAGAAGTCAAGCTTGAGATGATGAAGTATCTTAGAGACCAAGAAGCAGTGAAACTACAGACATCTATTCACTTACTGATAACATAATGGAGACATTAAATGCAATTTAAATAACTGATTCTTAAAACGTAATAGAACCAACGGTTAAAAACAGTAATAATCAGAAACCAAAATGCTAGATGTTTTCAATGATACTGAGGAGGCACAAAGAAAGGCAAACAGAAGTATGGGCCAGGCCACACACTCACTGTGGGTAGTCGGAGGTGAGGACAGACTGTGCTGGATCTGGTGTCGTTGCTGATTGAAAGGGGTTTGGGAAAAAGTAAGGGTAAAACCACTGGCCGACCAGAGTAAGGATGTATAACTTCAGAGGAATGGGGATAGGCCTTAGGACGCTGACCACTGTTAAAGCGCATTATGAAGCTATAGTCATTAAATCTCAACCTGATGCACTGTTAGACAGATTAATGAGGGAGACCACAGCATTCAAAAAAACCCACCCATATTTGTGTGCAAATTTGGTCTGCAAGTGAGAAAAGGAAAAACAACTCAAAAGATACATTTGGAAAAATTAGTTAACCATTTAAAGAGAAAAATGAATGAGAGTTCCATCTGATACCAGGCACTCAATTGACCACAGATAAATTGAAAATATGAATGTACTTGAATAAAATATAGAAGAATATTCATTATAACCTGGGAGTGTGAAAGGCCTTAGACAGTATAGCCCTCGATCCACCCCTCCAAAAAGACTTGATTATGAAAAGATTTCATTACAAAAATATGTTCATTTCTGAATGATAAAAGCCACTATAAACAAAGTTAAAAGACAAATGGCAAACTGGAAAAGATATTTGTAACCTATATAACAAATAAATGGTTAATATTCTAACCATATAAAGGGATCTTACAAATAAGACAAAAGCGCCAGTAGAAACTTGGGCAACTGATACAAACCAATAGGCCAAAGAAGAAGAAATGGAAATGACTAATAAATGTAAAGAGAAGCTCAACTTCACTAATAACCCACAATTACAAATTACAGTGAAATACATTTTGTCACTCCTCATACCAACTAAGAATGAAAGGCGTCACGGCCCCGAAATGTACAATGGGGGGCAGGGAAACAAGACAACTCTCACTCACTGGCAATAGGAATGCAAACTGCACACTTACTTAACCTCTCTGTGCCTTTGCTTTCTCATCTGTAAAGTGGGGCTAACAGGAACAGTGCTGGGCGGGTGACACGTTTAAACAGAAGGAGAATATCTGCAGAGCACTTCGGCAGCGTGCACCGCACTACGTCCTACAGAAAAATGCAGTGAGACATAAGGCGCAGGACATAGTTAAGGACATTTATCACAGTGTCACTCTCATAACATCAAAGCAGCGGAAACGCCTGATCGCACCTCCACCGGGAAGTGGTTGAATACATTGTGGTCCGCTGGCTACTAAACAGAAAGGGAGAGAACGTTAGGTACAGTTGTAAAAGACTGATATGTTGTATTGAGTTTTAAAAAACTGAATTACAGGAACTTGTGTATGATATATATTATTTAGTAAAATAAAACACAGTACATGCCTGCATATATGCACGGAATAGTATTTGGAGAGATCACACCAAACTTGCAGCAGCGCGGTGGGAAGGGGGATTTTCTTTATTTATTTTATTCAGTTGTTTCAGATTTTTCATACGAGTTTTGTACAAGTATATTACCAAAGAACATATAAAATGCAAGCCCTGGCCAGGTGGCTCAGTTGGTTGAAGCATCGTCCCAGGCACTGAAAGTTTTCAGGTTCGACCTGAACCTGAAACATGCTCAGGGCATGTACGGGGTGGCAACTGATGAATGTTTTTTTCTCTCTCTCTCTCCCTCCCTCTCTCTCTAAAATTAAGAAACATATCCTCAGGTGAGGATTTTTATAAGAAGAACATAATGCTAAATAAATAAATATTTTCATTTATAAGTAGATTAAAATTCTAAAATTTTTTTCCTGAAGTAAGTTTAACAAAAAATGTGCAAGACTTACATGAAAAAAACTTTTTCAAAACTTGGGAAATCTTAAAAGAAAATTTGAATAAATGAGAAGACATAATCCTATTCCTGGATAGAAAGAGAGTATTGTATAGATCTCAATACCCTCCTTTCTGGTGCATGTTTTTAACATAAGGATAATCAAAAGCTCAACATTTTGGGGGAGAGTAAGGAGGAGGTAGTGACTGAATAACATTATACTAAATTTCACTTAAAAGGACAAATATGTGAAAATAAACATTTTTTATTTAAAGAAGAGTAATAAGCGGACACTTATACTAATTTAATGTAAAATATTGAAACAAATAACTGAAAAAAACAAAAAGCATTCTGCCTCATTCTATATACCAAAGTAAACTCCACGTAGACTAAAATGTTAAAATTTGAAAAATAAAACCAGGAAGTTCAAGGGAGGGACAATGACTATTATATAATCCTGAGGTGACTAACACAACGCCAAAGGGAAAAACATTAAAAATTTATAGATACGATGTTAGTCATCAGAAAATGTAGTTCACAACCACAGTGAGATACTACTTCACACCTGCAGGATGGCTGTCATTGTAGGAGTGGAAAGATAATTAAGTGTTAGGATGTGGAGAACCTGGGAGCCTCACACACTGATGGTGGGAATGTACAGTCACTCAGCCACTTTCGAAATCAGTCTAGCAGTTCCTCGGAAAGTTGAACAGAGTTATCATTTGACCCTGCAATTCCATTCTTAGGTATATGCCTATGAAATGAAAACGGAAGTCCCCATTAAGTCCTTCGCAAGAACATTTATAGCAGCACTGTTCCTAAGAGGCAAAAGGTGGAAACAACCCAAATGTTCATCAGCAGGTAAGTGGGTAAACACAGGGCGGTAGATCCACACAATGGAATATTGTCGGACCACAGAAAGGAATGACACGGGCTACACTGTGGATGAGCCTTGGGAACATTACATGAAGTGAAAGAAGCCAGGCGCAAAAGACCAAATACTGTGATTCTGTTGATAGAAAATGTTCACCCCTCTGGGGGCAGAAGCGGCTCAGTGGCTGCTTAAGGCTGGCGGAGAGGAGAGAACTGGCGGGGGACAGCTAAGGGTGCGGTTCCCTTCAGAGATAACATACTGCAGAACCAACGTGGTGGTGGTCGCCGCACATACGAGGCAATGTAAGTGACGAAAAGGCATATAAATAAATATGCAGCATTTCTAGTAAATCCAAGAAATGAACCTACTAACACACATAATGGTGCACAGTGTTGGTGAGGGCGTGAGGAAGTGGGCATCTCTTACCAACCAGTGTCTCGGTTGGTTGGCAGCTAAGGGGTGTCCCACAAAGCAGACATCCTGTGCTCAAAAGGGAAAGTTGTGGGCAAAGCAGGGTGGCTGGGTCAATCTCAAGTGCGGATTATACAGGGTCCGGCAGAACTAACGCCTGCGTGAGTGTGGTTGGTAGGGTAATAATCTGTATGTAATAATATAGCTTTAATTTGAACATTTCACCTACAATGTCATATGGTATGCTTGAGTGTGATACCGTTATGTTACAGAATTACATGCTTATGATTTTGTAATAAAAAAGGGGGCACTATTTGTGCCGGGCCGTGTACAGTACAATTGTTCTGGGGGGTCATTTGGCGATAGGTATCAGGAACCCCTGTTACAAATATGTATCCTCTGATGTGGAAATTCTACTACCAGGAATTTACTCCAACAAGATGTTCATTCGTTCAACAAATATTTGTAGAGAGTCAGTCCTATTTACGGGATGCTGGAGATACCAAGGTATACCCACAGGGATTTTTTTTTAACATCAGGTTTTTGTAACAGTGAAAAATCGGAAACAACCTAAATGTTAAACTTCTGGAGATGATTTAAATAAAGGCCGTTTCATCTACACAATGAAATACTCTGCAGGCACTAAACATGATGTTGCAGAAGAATATTTATTGACATGGAAACATGGATATACTGCACTGTTAAATGGGAAAAGAGCAAGTTAGAAAACTGTGTGCACTGGTAACCCCAAATTGCAAATAAGATGTATGTACGTATAAACAATTGCCTGACGGAATACAGCCCAAAATGTGACCGGTGGTTTTCTCCGGGTGTTGGGATTACGGGTGGACTTCATTTCCTTCTCCTGGTTCATCTGTACTGTTTTCTTCATGATAAACATGGGTAATTTTGTAACACCGCAACAAAAATGTTAACTGCACCATACGCCTGCCACACCCTGTGCCTGGAGGCCTCGAGGAAGGGGCGCAGAGAGTGAGGGGCGCAGAGTGGAGCGTGCATTCATGCCCGATCTAGTGGGGACAGTCCCCTTCACTGAGTGCCTTCTAATCCCTTTCATCCTCACAAACCCCGGGGAGAGAAGTGTCCCCGTCTCATCTGACACATGCCAGGTGACCCACCAGTAATCCCACAGCTAGTGAAAGGCACAGCGGGGATTAGAACCCTCGCCTACCTGCCTGCCTTGAAACCCAGGTCCCTGCCTCTCCCTTAGCCGCCTCTGCTTGTTCCTGGGGCAGAGCAGAGAAAAGGTCCCAGGACACTCGACCCTCTGTCCTGCACACCAGTTCTGTGTTAGCCCTTGTCCTCTCTCCCTGCAGACAGTGGGGGGGGGGGGGGGGGAGGTGACAGAAGGACAAATCAGCAAGGATGGGAGCACTAGCAAAGGGAAGGTGTGGCACTGAACAGCCAACTGGCTGAGGTCAGGGCTCAGGGCAGACTAGAGGACTCTCGCCTGCTGGGCGACTCTCAGGAAGCTGACCACATCCGGCCCCAGGAATTCCCAGGCCCTGTGCTCCCCCAGAGGCAGTGAGAGAAAACCTCGCAGCCTGCAGCCACCCTGCTGCAACAGCAGGAGGAAGACAGCCTGCCATCTGGGACCTTCTCCCTAGGCTCGGTGGCTGCTGGCCAGTCTTTTCCCCTCTCCCAGCCTCCAGGGCCTCCTCTTCTGTATGACAAGGGGACGTGGGGGAGGATGGCTCCAGGACCCAGCCCAGATCTAACCTCTCTGAATCTGTAGCACTTCCTCACAAAGGGTCTGGCGGGAAGCGGAAGGGGGTGAGGTCCCACCCAGCTCCCGAAGGAGACCCCTCCTCTTCCCCTCAGCTCCATCCCACTGCTATTTTTAGAACTGACCACAGGGAGAACCTCCCTGAGTCCTGCCTAGCTCTGACCTCCAGGTGAAACAGCAGCCTCATTCATTCCCTGCAGCAAGAACATACCAGACATCTCTAGACAAGCTACCAGATTAGACAACCACCCCACCCCACCCCCAAGCCTTTAGCTGGGCCGTGTCTCACTTTTTCCATTATAGCCCAAAGCGGTGTGACTTACTTTTCCTGACAACACAGCTAAGAGAGATGACGAGAGCATCTAAGACAGTCCACGTCCCCTCCCCCTTCTCCACGTGGCAAATTCTTCAAAAGTCACTGAAGAGGAGCCCTGGCCTAGAAGGTAGGGGGTTGGGTCCTAGCTCCAGCTCTAGGACCAACCATGTGCCTTTGACCAAGTTCTTGCCTCTCCTGGCCTTCGTTTTTATAAATCAGCTTGTTAATCGATTGATCTCAGCGGGCGGAGCTTTTCAGCTTCACATTCAGAGTCTACAGTTCTATCGAATTTTATATTTACAAAATGAATATCGTACTATATTCCTCAGTTTGGGGTTTGCATTGAAGAGAGGTGCAGTAATTTGTCCAAAGTCACCCAGTGAGTTACCAGAAAAATGAGGATTTGAACCAAGATCCTCAGAACCCGACCCAAGGTTTCTCTGAGGGCCACAGGCTCAGTGAGAGGGAAGAGAACCAACCATAGGAGTCGCTCTCATCAGGTCTCCTTTCCCTCGGAGGATGCCCAGAAGTCAGTACAGAGTATGATGGATCCCTGACCCCGAAGTGAACCTGGCCAGGCTGCTTAGTAAACCAAGTGGGGTTCCAGGCTCTGGGCTTGCAGGGCTGCGGTGCGGTAGAAAAAGCTCAGAGCCAAGGGGGTCAGGAGGCCTGAGTTCTAGCCCCAGCTCGGCCACTAACTCGTCCCATGACCCTGGCCAGCTCACTGCCTACTTGTGAGCCTCCATTGCCTCAACTAGATTCCAGAACAGGAGGGGTCTGAATCATGTGACCCAATTCAATCCTACAACACCCCCTAAGGACCAGGCAGTAACAGAAAATAAGTAAGATATGGCCTCCACTGGCTTCCTGGGAGACACGCCCGCCTACCATGCTGTACGAAGAATGAACAAAATACTGCGGAAATGCAGAGGGGAAGCCAGGACTTCTGCTGCAAGCTTGAGAAAGGTGCCTCAAGGAGGTGCCAAGACCCGAAGGCTGGGGATCGCGTCGGCAGAGGCAACCGACAGAAGGAACAGCCTGAACACGAGTGTGCACGGGGAGTTTGGAGAAGGGGAAGTAGTCGGGTGTGGCCGGGGTGCAAGCACAAAGCAGGGGTGCAGTGCAAGCAGGGACAGCCTTGAGGGGTGGGCTGAGATCTGAGCTTGACTCCGAAGACCATGGCCTTTCTCACTGGTCTTGAAGTTGACCATGACTGTTCAGCATTCCTTTCCCCTGTCAATGTGGATGCTGCTTTCCATGATTACTGAAAAACAACAGAACAGAGCCATCGAAAGCAGCTGCTCTGGAGTCCAGACGCCCACTAGCTGTGTGACCTTGGGCAAGTTTCCTAACTTCTCTGAGACATGGTCTTTATCTATCAGCTGGGTATAATGAGAGTAAATGTGTGATGGGGATAATGAACCGCTGCAAGAGGCTGAAATGAGAACCTAAGAGGCAATGTAGGTCAAAAACCTGGCACTGTGCCAGGCTCACAGTATACCTGCTCACCAAATTACCTAGTGTTATTATTCTACCCTGAAACCAGAGATCTGGGACTAATCTGGAGGATGGCCGCCCTATGCAGAGAAAAGCTGAAGGGAAGATAAGGTCAAGACAGGACAGATGATAAGATTGTGCTGTCTTTGTTAAGAGCTAAAAAAAGAATAGAATAGCGAGGTGGCTGAGTCCAAGGGCAAGATGCCGAAGAAGGCAGTCTATCCACAGCCAGAAAAGCAGTAGGAGGTGGGAGGGGACCTGGAGAGACTGGAAAACAGCGGAGCATTTTAGGGAAGAGTCTGCTTCTTTAGGCAGGTATCTGAAATCCAGTCCGGTTCATTCCCACTTACTAAGAGTTAAGATTTGAAACCAGCCCATTATTAGCAAAATCTGGGCCCAGAACCTGGAACAGTCTCTCCTGCCCTGGCTCAGTGTACCTGGCCTAAACCCGAAGCCATCCCTTTCTGCCTCTGGCCAACGCCCCATCGCTGCTGGACACCCAGGGCTACGTCTGCTGGTCCTGTTGAATGTGAGACCCAAAGAGGGAAGGGAGTGGCCCAGCAGTCCCCGTGCCAACACCCACCCCACCCCGGTCTGTCTTAAGGAGCTCCACCTTGTCTTTCATATCAGACTTTTCAAATTCTGTGTGAAGCTACTGATCCTTTCGGCCACTCCTCAGAAACACGAGCTCCGAAGTTCATTCTCCACTGCATGGAGAATGTTGCATCTCACTTATTTGTCCTAAAGCATCCCATCGAGAGCTTAAAGGACCACAACTCCTGCAGGCGGAATAGCTTCCTCCTGCTTCTTTCTGGAGGAGATGACTGATTTCTCTCACTTTCATCCTTGAAAGGCAAACCTTGGCATTGAAAAGAGCAATGGATTTGGTTCGAAGGCCTAGATGTAAGGGCTATAGCTCAGCCTTTAACCAGCTGTGTGACCCTGGACAAATCACCGAATGCCTCTTAGTTCTAGTCCCTTTCATTCACAAAGCCAGGCTGCTGGGAGGCCTCGGGGACACGATGCCTGGGCCCCCGGTCGCCCTCTCCAAAGCCCATGCTCTCACTTGGGGAGCCCCTGACATTGTGAAACTGCACCTTCACTTCACAGAACCCCCTTGGTAACGTGTGTAAGAAATGAGGGTTTGGGTGGCAGAATTTTTGGAAAAAATTAAAGAATTAAAAATACTAGACATACATAAATAAGCATCATTATTTCCCACAAGTTCCACTTCCCAAAGGGCCCAAAGCCCCAGGACCAGCAGAGCCCCACGTGTGACTGCACACAGGAGAGGCCAAGAGTCTCAAAAGACCCAGAGCCTGAGACACAAGAACACATGAAAACGAGAATGGAGGGCGTACCGGGGAACTGAAAGGACCACTTTGTATTCAAATCACACAGATGGCCTTTTCAACAATAAATGCTTGCGGTCCCATCCTGCCAGCCCCTCGGCCCAGAGAGGCCCAGAGACACCCAACTAAGACAATTGGCCCATCAGGAAAGAGACCATTGTGTGTGCTTCTCCATGTGATTTATGCAGAGGGAGGGAGGGGCTCGGCTGTGTTTCCCGTGATTATGACTCTCAAATGCAGTTTCGGTGGCTTGTCCATCTTCCTGGACGGCTGGGACGGACGAGGGCACTGAAGAGCAGTGGCTGCCAGTCAGGTCTCATCATCTCAAGCCCGTGGAGCCAAATTAAATGTGTCATCAATCTGACAGGCAGAGCAGCAATGGCACTCTGGCTCACCACAGTCACGGCTTCTCCAGGAGCTGACATCTGCTGCCCCAGCCACCGGCGGGGCCTTGGTCCCTGACGTGAGCATGAGTGTCCAACTCAGCAGCTAGCTGGGGCAAGCAGGGGAAAAAGCCCTGTCACCAGGGCTGGGCACTGCATTCGGATTCTCCACCTCGCTGCCCAAACTCCTGTCCTCTGCACCTGTCTGGTGGAGAGAGGTCAGTCACCAGGTCCCAGAGGGACAAGCTTGCTGTCTTCCCAGACAGGCGATTCTCCTTAATGTCATTTTCAAGGGAATCAAATGAAATCAAAGTGCAGCCGCAGTGCCGTCTGAGCGGACCCAGCTGCTCAGCCTCTCAGAATGAGCCCCGCGGCCGGGTCCTGGCTGACAGACACTGTGCATCACTTGTCCACTCGGGGCCGAGCCTATCCCCCTGCGGGGTGGGGAACTGCCTGGTCCCGGGCGGTACATTCCACCCGTTAGACCACTCATGCCTCGCGCCTCATCTTTCCTAGACTGGAGGAGGGTGAGCGGTGAGGAACGAATTCTCCCCTGGGCCGCCCTTCTTGGGGGTCGGGTGACCACAGCAGTGAAGCAAACTCACCAGGGCACAAGAGCCCTCTCCAAAGATACTTCGGAGGTCTTAAAGGACATCGCCGAGTGTCCAGGGTCTGGAGCTTTTCTGACTCGAGTCACCTCTCCAGCCTCTCTGACCCCCTCTCCCCATGCAAGCAGCCCTGACCCTGTACATCCCACTCATGCACAAGCTATGTCACTCACACCTGTGGCCTTGGGCTTCCCTTGCTCTAGGCCTCACAGGAAGCAGCGTGAGACCAGCGGGCCCTGGGCCCCAGTGGGGGTTGTGGCAGTCAGGGAGCAGGCTAATCACGGCCCCCTGGGAGGTCTTTCTTTAGCCTGGTGGCAGGACAGTCTCCTCTAGAGTGCTGAGCTGCGCCTCGCCCTGGTCCCTGACTTTAGGAGCGCTACTGAAAGCAAACCAAATCAGTTTCCAGAGGGTGTATTCCAGCTTCCGGTCAGACCATTCAGCACAGGATGGAGGGGCAGCACAGGCCACGCCTGCTGAGGCTGGGGGTTGTGAACTTTCCCACCTTGGCCAGAAGAAGCACCCACTGCCCCCAACTTCCAGAGGCAGCCCCACATCTTGGCACTGGTCCCTACTCAGGCCTGGCCAGGGCTCTGGAAGGAGCCTTCTGGAAGGGGGCTCTGGTTGCAGTCTTCACTTGCACCCGCTGAGACAGCAAGGCATAGTGGGGGAAGTGGGGGGGCAGGAATGAAGAAGCAAGGAATTCTCTCTACTCACTCCAGAGCCTCTACCACATCCCAGGGACTGGACATTCGCATCCCCACCTCCCCGGCCACCATCCAGGACAGGCCATCACCACCCTTCACCCAGAGAACTAAAGGGACCCCCTAACTGACCTCACAGCTCCTTGGGCCCCTTATGAGACTGATCCTCTAGAAATATGCCTGAAACTCTGTGACTCCCTTTCTCAAAAGCCTTCTCTGGCTTGCCAGTGTGCCTTGAATAAAATCAATAAAACATTAACCACCACAGCCCTGAGTGACCTGGCCCCCACCCTCCTCACTAAGCGCCAGCCACACTGGCCTGGCCCCGTCCCTCCAGAACGCCACGCTTCCATCTCAGGCACCCTCTGCAGGCTGTTCCATGTGCCCGGAACACTCTTTCCCAAGTCCTTGACTGGCTAAACCCTCTCCGGCTGGCAGGTCCCAGCTTCAAAGTTATGATCTCCATCACCCCACCACACATACACACACAGGACAATCTAAGTAATATTCTCTCTTAAAGGAATCTGTTCTTTTCCTTCACGGACCATCACACTTTGTGATCATGTGAGTGTTCGTGTGTATGCGCACATACACACGGGTGACAATGTCCATTTACTTCATGCAACTCCCCTTCCAGAGCTGAAATCTTGATAAGCACAGAGACCACGTTCATCTCATTCTCCACGGTGTCCCCCGCTCCTAGCACAGAGCCTGGTGTAACGCAGATGTCCCCAAATATCTGTTTGCTGAATGGAGGAATGAATGAGTCCAGATGCGTGACTGGGGGAAGACGTCTTCGGGCTGAGGAGGGTTAGGGCATGATTCCCCACTAGGGCCAACATCTCCCGACCTCTCTTGCTGCCCCCAGGGCAGGCACTGGAATCACCAGAAGCCCAGGTGCCATTTTGCCTTCTTCTTCCTTGTAGGGGATACATTTCGGAGTCTTCTCCACTCGGGACTCTGATGTCAGTGTGCACATGCCCACAGGGCTTCTCGCACCACTGAGGTTCTTCTGATCCAGTCCACACACACCTGTGGGGCCGCTCCCTTCAGGTGACCCTAGGCCCACCATGTTGGTCCTCAGTTTTGGGTCCAGTTGAGGTGAGGTTACTGTGTGGTAGGGGATGCCCAAGAAAGGGTTAAGTTGCCAGAAGCAGAGTCCCGCCCTTGGGTTTGCTCAGCCAATCAGAGTCTGTCCTGGTGAGGTAAAGCTTCTATCCTGGGTAGCATTGGTTGAGTTGGCCGGCCCCATCTCCTGCTGGAGAGAGCCATAAGGGTGGAGTTTCTGTGGAACCAGACAGAACTGGAATTAGCTTGCTGCCTACTCAGGCCTGGGCGGCCAGACTCCAGGACCTGCCCCTGCTCCTTTCTAAGGTGCTTAGAAAGACTCTGGCATCTCCGGGGCCCCGTCTAGCTGCCCAGCAGAGATGACAAGGTGGCAAGCACTTCAGCATCACATCTGGGAAAAGTCTTAGAGCCGGGCCCTGGAATATAGCAGTTCGTACAGGAAGTGACATGGAGCAGTTGTCACGTGTGCTCAGAGCAGCAGCATTCGGCTTCGATTAACAAGGCCACTAGATGAATCTTCCTACTTAGACATGACTGTAATAGTAATAGTAATTCACAGAGCTCTTCTTGTGTGCCACTTTGCAAGCATCTGACATGAGTCTAATCCTCATAAGACCCCTATTAATCCATGTACCTTACTGATGAAAAAGCTGAGTTTCAGAGTGGCTCAGTGCCTCCTCGCCCCAGGTCACAAAGAGGTAAGCGTTTCTATCTCCCACACCACTTGCTATGTTATTTTTGAAGGATCTGTTGGTGCATCTGTCTCCACTGCTGGACTGTGATCTCCCAAGGAAAGAGCGTGACAGATTCATCCGTGCATCGCCATCATCGAGCCCAGGGCATGCCCCGAGAACAGGGCAGTGCATGCTGCACTGCACCCCCTTCTCATCCCTGCTGGCTCAGGCAGGGGCCCACTCTCCTGAGAGGCTTCCTGTGGCCCTGCCCAATGCTGTGCATATGGGGGACGACACAGAGCAGCCAAGCCCCCATGGGGTGCTCTTAGGACCCATCAGGCACAGCTTTTAACGTTCACATTGCCACTCTGGTGCCCTTGTCGCATCTGGTTAATGAAAGGAGAATTCCATAAGGATAGGAATCAGGTTTTCTTCATCTGTGTGACCCCCAAAGGACCTAAACTAGTATCTGGCACAGAGCAGGCAACTATTATGTATATTTGATTGAATAACCAAAGTAATATGTATCTGCCTGTTCCTACTAGCTAAAAACCTCAATGGCCACAGGTAAGGCCACCTGTAAGTTAGTCTAGATGAGATGCATCGCAGCATGCCCCATGCAGGGAGTTCAGTAAAACTTATCCCAGGCAGAAGAAAATATAGGTTCCCTGCAACGACAGATAATGAAGCAAGAGAAAGGACAGATAATAAGGAAGAAGGGAGCGGTGAGCAAAAGACAGAGGCTGGGAGGGCAGAGGGAGTCAGCCATTTATTTCTACAAAGACAGAGAGCAATACAGGCCAGCTCCAAGCAGCCTCCTGCCTACCGTGGTCAGCTAAGAGTGAGCAAGAAAAAGGCAACGGATTCCTCAGAGAAGAGATGCAGTCCTTCTGTCTGCCTCACTGTGAGGCAGCTGGTTCCCACTCTGTCACAGCTGGGACCCTCCACCCTGCAACCCACAGGTCACAGGCACCTCAATGACAGCACAGCAAGCCTGTGCCTGCCCCTTCCCACTCCCAGGAGGGCAGCAGACCTGGCCCCTAAGAGAGCAGATTTCACAGCAGTCAATTATGCAGACATCTGCAGGACAGAGCTTCCTAACGGAGAATGGGTGACCCTGGGTCCTCAGCTTTTGTGACAATCGCAAAGCTTGAAGAGATGGAGAGAGCCACCAGGCTAATGCCCAGATGGAACCACTGAGGCCACCGTGGAAGTGGTTGCCTAAGGTCACGTAGTGTCACAGATGCCTCTCTATCCTCCTTGGAATCCATCCTGCCCCAATGCCTTCCTCCTTCCCCAAAAGCACTTCCTGTTTGTTCAGGGCATATCATATTGATTATGTTTTGCAAATTTGGGGGAAACTTTGCACTCCTTGAAATGTCTGAAGAATCTCCACTCAAAGGTGTTAGCAAACACTGTTGAAAGGAATGGGGTTGAAAAGGAAGGGGGCAGCATAGGAGTTTGGGAGGTGCCTTGCTGGCCCCTCTTTCCCCAGAGAAACACTAGAGTTGGTTGGGGGTGGGCACCAGGGAATGGCTTGGGCAGTGGTTTCCATTGCGCAGTAGAAGGCAGGGGATCCAGAAAGAGTGAAGAACAGAAGTTAAAAAAGGCTTGCTGCTCAGTCTGGACAGTTGACCGGGAACAGCTCTTTCTGCTTTTAGCAAGAAGCCGGTGTTCGAGCTCTGCTTGGCCCCACCCCCCCTTCTCTTTCCTGGAGAGCACCCTGGTGCAGAGGCTGCGGCCCTGCCCTTGGCAAGGAGGTTCACAGTCACCTCTGAGGCTTCCCAGACCTGACAGAGCCGAGCGCAGGTGGACAACCACCTGGCCCGAGTCGTCAGGGCTGCTAAAGCACTCCTGCCACTCTGTGGGGCTGGAGAAAAATCACGTTTACCTGACTTTTCTCAGGGAGTGTTCTGTAAGTGATCAGAAGGAATAAGGTGCCAAAAAACTCTCCAAGTGTGCATGGTGGGAGTGCGTAAAGATGGGCAGTGAAACCCCCAAAGATCCTGCTGAATAAAAGATGATAACATAACTGCCTTCTAAGGAGGGTGGGCCAAGTGGGGTGTACAAGCCCAAGGCTGGGCCCAGGTCTCCAGGAAGGAGGCAATTCTGAGACTCCCAGTGGTCAGCCTCTCCTTTCCTCCTGCCCAGTATATAACTTCTCCATCAAATGTTTAAAGAGTTTACATTTGAAGGGGCGTCCAATGGTTGCCTGCACGGGATATACACATCCTGGTTGGCCCAGAGGCCTGGCCTCAAATCCTGGGGCGCTTCCAGGATCTGTCAGCTAAGCCCGCAGCCCTGCAGGGACCAGAGCCGGTCTCAGAAACCCGGCCTACCTTTAGTCAACTGATGAAGGCGAGGTTCCCCAAGGTACTGAGAAGGCGGTTGCCAACACACTCCAAGCCCAAGAACTCTGGAGCTGGAGCAGAAAGAACTCTTTCCCGCACACCAGAAGGAGCTAAGGCCAAGACCGAGGAAGCTGGGGGACACAAGTTCAGCCATCTGACGTCCCTGGCACTGCCCCAGTGAAAAGGGCGTGGCCTGGCTTCTGACTGTAACCAACTCAGGATGGAGAGCACAAGGCAGCCCACAGCTTCTGTGGGTCTCTATTCAGTAAGAGAAACTGACAGTAGGAAGCAGCCAGTGTAGCAACAAGCAACCTTGACGGAGGGACGGCGGGGTGGGGCACTGCCCACAGGTACTAAGTGCCTACTGCATACCAAGCACTGTGCTATGCACTGTCTGTGCACCATCCCATTCAACTCTCACAACAATGCTTTGAGAGAGAACGATTGTCCCCAGATGAGGATAGCAAAGCTCCAAGTTAGTATAGCGACTCGCCCAAGGTCACCCTGCCAAGGTCAGCAGCATAGTGTAACTCCAAAGTCCATGCTCTTCCCATAGCCCTCCCACAGCAAAGTTATTCTTGCCCCTTGGCTAGTGTGAAACAAAATAACGGTCAGGTATGCGATTATATAATTCTCAGATGCTTACTTCCTTAGGGGATAGCTGGGGAGCGGCTGTGCACCACCAACTAGACGCCTCCCTCTTCCCCACTTCCTGCCCTCTGCAGACCCCTCTACCCACCCCCCCCATATGCCTGCTCTCCGGGGGCACAGTGGACTTAAACACAGCAGGAAGAAGCAACAAGGCCAGCAAGATTACAGGCTGCTACTAACTTTCATTTATCATCATCTCCACCCATCCAGCAGACCAACCACCTTGGCTTCTTTTGCAGCCAACTAGACCAAATCCCGAACAGCCAACGATTTCAGCTAGTAAAGGAACCCAAGCAGCTCGGAGCTGGGGAGATACAACTGTGCCTTGCAGCTGGCCTTGGGGACAAAGGTCCACCTCCCATCCCATCCCTACATAGGCTCAGAACCCGCTGAGGGGGGCTGTTCCAGACCCACTTCAGACTTCAGTCTCTGATCGTCCCTGATACTCCCAGCCAGCCGGCCCCCAGTCCCCAGCAAACTCCGCTCGGCTCCAGTGGGCTGGGACCTGCACTGAACTATCAGAACAGCTTCTGCTGCAAACATCCCCTCCCAATTACGTCCGCCTTGGGCCAGTGTCAAACACCAGTGTGCTGCCCCTGGCACAACCCGCCCAGTGGCACAGGGGGACCACACACCCGGTGGCGCAGGGAGGCTGGCCCAAATTAGACCCTGCCATGGGCAAACCAAAGAACAGAGCTGAGAATTGATGGGTCAAGCTCAGTTTGGCTCTGTTGCTCTGCCCGAGCAATACAAAACCCACGCAACGGACCCAGTGCAGTGCCAAGGGGGAGAGATATTCAAGCACAGCCCTCCTTGCCAAGCTTGTTATCCAGATCCAAGACCTGAGCTCAGATTGGTCTCAAGCTCAACTCAGAGGCTCAAGGGCCCAGGCCACTGCGGGGAAGCCAGGCAGCTGGGGCTGCAGCAGAGGGCGAGACCCTTACCTTACTCTGTGGGGGCGAGGCCGCCAGCTGTTGCTGCTTCGCGATGTTCTCTGACAAGCACCAGCACACCCTCTTCTTCTGCTCCTGCGAGTGCGCTTCCAAAGTGAATAAGCACTCTGCCTTCTGACGTCAGGGAAAATAGAGAAAGGGACGGTCAGGGCTGCTCCCTGGTTCTGGGGGCTCCCAGGCCCCAGCCCATCCCTGGGCTCTGGAGGGCGAGGCTGCAGCAGGGAGGGGAGTGCCCACTAAAAGCCACAAATGCACACTAATCCCTGGTGACATCGAGGCAGCCAGAGGAGCAGGGAAGCTGGGTCGGGGGCCAGCTGGAGAGCCTTGTGCCCACAGGTTGGGGGAAGGGTAGCGGGTGGTGGTTCTCAACACAGTGGAGGTCTGTGGAGAGCCTCAGAACAGAGACGGTGAGGTCACCCCCGGGAATAGGCAGCACAAAGCAGCGGCTGGGAGAGCACATGGGGAACCCAGAGGGCCAAGGTCTCTGCCCTGCTGATGCTCTGTGGAGCCAGCAGCCCCGTCCGCAGCTGCCAGGCCCCCCTCCCCCACCCAGGGCACACTCATCTGATCACTAGGCCACGGTTAGAGGGACGGACATACCGACAGAAGCCTTTGGAAAGTCTTTGGCAGGCACAGCCCAGTGGCCCTCCCAGCCCCGCTACTGCCTGCACATGAGCAGGGTCTGACCCAGGGCCGCTCAGCCCCCTGAGCGCAACAGCCTCTGGCACTGCTGTCATTTAAATCCCACTTTGCTGTTTAACCTTATTAAGGGCTGCAGCCTTGTCTGTCCAACTAGACCAGGAGGAGCTCCTTCTCAGAAGGCCTTTTTCATCCGGACACAGCACAGTGCTTAGCAAGTAATGGCTCGGTAAGCTCTGGCTCCCTGGAGGGACTCTCAGGAGGAGGCCAAAGCCAGGCCTGCTTTGCAGGGACCCAGGGAGGGGGCTCCGAAGCCGTCAGAATGCACTGGGTGGGGAGGGGCGGTGCGGCACGCCCGGTGCTATCATCCCCTACAGCACACTCTGATCTGGGGATCAGGAGCTCCTTCTGACTCCACTGGAATTTGATTATAACCGCGCAGGGCTGCGATTAGATGAACTCGGCCAGGGAGCTAGCTGGACGGCTTGAAACAGAGAAGACGGTGTTTGTATGCAGTCCTGCCTTGGTTTGCAGTTGGACAGGCTCGGTCTGAGTCCCAGCTTGAGGACACTTCCTAGCTGGTGTCCTCAGAAATGTCTACAACATGGGAATGATAATGCTATCCCCCATGTCTCAGAGCCACTGAGGAGGCAAGTGATGAAGGCCATCTCAGGCCTCAACACACAGCAGCTACTGCTGTTTTTACTTCATTCATTCAACACATATTTATTGAGCACTTGCTATGTGTCAGGGATTGGACTAGTCCCTGGGGTAAAGGGAGAAATAAGAGGCACAGCTCTTGGCCTCAGCTGGGGGCAGACAATAAACCAATAAACAATTAAACAATATAATTATAAATTGTGAAAAGGCCACACAGGGAGATATTCCTACTTGAGCCTGGTGGCCAGAGAAGGCGTCTCCGCAGCACTCAGCGGGTCCTGAACAATAAGGAGCCAGCAAAGACAGTGCTTGAGAGAAACTCCTCCGTAGAAAGAAAGGCAAATGCAAGGCCTTATTTTTCTGTGAGGCTCTTGGGCTCAGTGGTTATCGGCATCACCTAACAGCATCTGGGAACATTCTCTGCCATGCCAGCCAGCACGGCCCTAGCGACGCCTCCCTTCAGGGCGGGGCAGCTCCCATGCTAAATGCTCCCTGGGTGCAGCCATTCCTCTCCTGCCCAAAAGTGCTCAGAAGCTGATCTTCCTAAAAACACTGAATAGAGAGGGAAGAAAGCCCTGCCCCAGGGCTTCTTGGAACTGGGTGGCTAGGTGAGGCAATCCTATCACTTAACAACAGGTTTCCTCCACTTCCCAGAACTCCCAGCCCACTGCAGGGTAGGGCACACCCAACAAAAGACCCCAGGATTCCCCAGGGAGAAGTCAGGTGGGGCAGGACACAAGGAGCAGGCCCTTTGCTCCCCCTGCCAGGGGAGGGCTGAGGCAGGGGCTTTGGGCCCCTCCAGCTTGGAAAAGGCCATCACCCCACAAAGCTGGCCCGGTTCTGCCTCTACCTTGCTGTTTGGTTTTCGGCAAGTGCCTTAATTTCTCTGAGCCCCAAATCCTCTTCTCTTTCAGTTCTAAAGCAGGAAGTCTGCCATAATAACAACTCCTTTTATCAAATTATCAATTTAAAAAAAGCACTTTGCCATCCATGTTCTCAAAAGAAGTTTCTAATCTTAAGGACCTAAGCCCAGGCCTGGCCTGGCAGCTAGCCATCTTAGATGCATTATTAGGACGCCAGGCCCAAGACTCCTCCTGAGGTGCTGCCTAGAGCTTTGAGGCTGGCCAGGCCAGGAGAGACGGCATGGAGCCAGACCCTCTGGGGGGCTGAATGCCCATCTGCCTAAGTCTGTCTGAATAAGCCCCAGTGCCGTCCTGGCTGCCCCTGCAGGTGGACCGTCTCTCTCAACCCACCACGTGACCCAACCTGTCAGTTGCAGACTGACACACACGGGCCCTCCGTACCAGGCTCCAGGGCTTAGGGGGCCAGCTACCCTGAAGGCACCTTCACAGAACTCATTCAGAGGCAGGGCCTCGAGTCTGCAGGGTGGTTAGCCAAGCACAGACCTGTTCCCCAGGTACAGCAGTGCTGGGCCCAGACCTCGCCATTCAAACACGAGCGCCCCCAAATTCAATGAGAAACCCAGCTTCTCCTGGCCTCTTTAAAACCCCCATTTTGCCTCACCACCCTGTCCCTAAATGAATGTTATCTTTGTAAAAACTAAAACCTCTGCCTGTACTAGTTTACATTTGTTCACTTGTTTTGACAAACGTTCTCCCAATAACCCCACGACATAGGGAGGAAGGAAAGGCACAGGTGTTACGGGTTTTCAATGAGAAAACAGAGGTTCAGAGAGGTTAGGCTGGCGGCTCCAGGAGGTCTCAGGAGAGGAGATGTTCCAAGTCGGACTTCTGTCTCCTCCAGAGCCTGCGATCTTGTCACATTTGTGTAACTGCATGTGTACATTACAAAGGACATGAGATAGTCCTCTTAGCCTTCTTTTTAAAAGATCAATAAGTCATTGGTGAGGTCCGTAATGGAGGGGAGATGAATCTGAGATGCTCTCCTCCTGCTATGGAAGCCGACAAAATAACAATGACCATTCACTGTTAACCTCACCGTGTGCCAGGCTCTGAGCTAAGTGAGTGCCTTGGACACAGCATTTTATTGAATCTCATTTAATCATTACAACAACCTCACAAAATAGGCCTCCTCGGCCTTGTTTCAGAGATGAGTAAGTGACGTGCCTAGATCACTCAGTTAGGAAAGGGCAGAACCGAGATCCCAGTCTAGGTCTTCTTAACCCTGCCGCGCAGGCTGAACGAAGTGAATGGAACCAGCATTCCTTAGAGAACGGTCCCTGGTCCATGTGCACTTTGACACAGTGCCCCTGGTGCTCCGCAGCTAGCAGTGGGCTGCATCTGCCCCATGGATTGGCAGGAGCCGAGGGACACGTGTCCAGGGGAATAGAGGCCCCAAGGCCGAGGACTACTTAGGGGAACCCCACTCAGACCTACTGCTGGGGCATAAACAGAGCAGAGCAGGGTGATGGGGGCTTTCTCAATGCAATGGAAAACTCTCCAAATCCTAACTCTCTTGCCCTGGTGTCTTCTCTGGGTGCCACCTGCCTGTTAGGCAATGAAGAGATACCACTTGTTGGAAGTTCCACCCCAGATGTGAGTTTGGGGTTCTCTGTGAGATCCAAAACCACCTTGAGGTGTGTCCCAGGCTACAGAGCGAGCAGGCATCCGGTCTCCTTCATTATAGACATGCCTCTCATAAACAGCAGCCCATTAAGAGAAAAGAAAGGCTTCTGACTGCCTGTGAACTTCAATCCCCCAGCTTCCTGGGGTCAGATCACCTGGCACTTAACTGAAATAAAAGGCCCAGATCAATATCCCTTCATCAGTGTTTGGGAGGCTGGGAGGTCTCAGTTCCCAGGAAACAAATGAGCAGAAGTGCTTTTCTCTGGGAAAAACAAACGCAGCTTGGCAGGAAGCTCCCTTGGCATTAAAGAACCTGGGGCTTCATTTCACTCCCTGCCAGAGGGAATTGGAATCCAGAGTAGTGAGCATAGAGGGGCAAATGCTCTGGCTGTTCCCAGCCCAGCTCACAGCTTCGGAGCTGCTCACGGGGCTCTGCAGAACTGAACACCCGCTCACTCTGAAGCACCTCCGCCAGCGACTCCCAGTGCCTGCTGGGATGCACCAACCCCGGGGAGGATATCCAATGTCTTCTGGGCCCTTGGGCTGCCATTCCAGGCAGCCAGGGTCCCCAGTTCAGCTCTGACAGTGCACACAGCCTTTGGCAACTCTCTGCTCTCCCCTGAAGCTAACTCATCAAATGGTCTTCTCTTGAGAAGTCTTTGGGAAGGGACTGTCTCAAAGGCCTGCTCTCCTATCTTAGCCAGGAACTGAAGGAATGCTTTTCAATCACAAATGACACACCCATTCCTTCTCAAAAGGGTGTACTCCTCTTGGGCAGGTAGTGGAGACCATGCCCCACCCACAGGGTGTGGCCAGTGTAGCCTTTCCCACAGCTCCGACAGGTTCCCAGGACTATTGGGTGGGATAGACTTAAGTAGAAGCAGAGGAACAACAATGGGTCTAATGAACCCTTGCTTGGGACAGAGAGCTCCCCTGCTCACATTAGCAGACACAAAAAATTCACTAAAAATCTCAAGGAATTTGATGGCTCAGGAGCTCAGCTTTTTCATCACCAAGAACCTCTGATTAAACCCCTGGTTTAATGGCATTTTATCTCCCAAACCATGTCAAGCAATAAGCTATCTGCCCAACTTTGCTCAGCAAAGGCATGGCACTGCCCATCCAAGCTCCTGATCAGGCCGAGACAACCAGGAATGCCAATCACTTCACAGGCATCATTCCAGACCAAAGCACAGACACTTGGTGTATCCTTTAGCCAGTGTTATCTGGCTCAGGTAAAGTTACAATTACCTCCAGGCCACTGTAAACACTGACAAGACCCTTAGGAGGGGTCCTGGGTGGTACTTTCTAGAAAAAGAGGAAGGAAGAGGCAGGCACAGAATGAGGGCAATCCCAGAGGAAGGGCTCCCAAATGAATAGGGTGATATGCAGCTGTCAGGCCACACCCTCACTGTGACCCTCCCTTGTAAGTGCTGGAAACCAGGGGTCCTGAGCAGGAGGTCACAGAGTCCTCTGCCCTTCTACACAAAGGGAAGAGATACAGGGCTGTTTCTCATTCCGCGGGGCAGGAAACTGCCACACTGAGCCTGCCCAGGGCCACTGCACGAGGTGGGATAGAAGTGGCATCAGAACCCTGGATGAGAACCCATCCCAACATCTCCCCTCAAGCACTAGGTCACAGATGTCTCCTCAGACTCAGAGAGAAGGACTCACCTCTGCTAGATACAGCACACAGAATTTCAGGTCTTCGGAAGAACCTTGGGGAACAAAAGGTAAGACTTGCATTAGCATTGGCTACAGAGCCTCAGCAGTTTGCTCCCACACAGCCAGCTGTCCCACCCAGAGGGCTGTGTGGGGGACTTTCTGGAAAAAAAGGAAGAAGCAGGCACGGGACACATGGAGATCTCTGGAGGAAATGCCATGTAACAGCTAACCAGGGGGCCACACAGCTGCAAGGCCTTTGCCTGCGGGCAAGCCTGACTCAGAGAAGGCTGAGGTCACACCCCCACGAGTGGTGGCCAGGTCAGGGAGCTGTCACCCATCCCAGGCCCCTTCCTTCCCGCCCTCTCTGTGATAAGGGGCAGGGAGGTAGCACACATTGGGGTTTTCCTTTCAACATTCCAAATGTCTTTGCCATTTTGAAATTCAACAAGGGGCCACTTAGTCACGGAGCGGTCCTTGTCCCCCCCTCCCCCCTGAGGAATTCGTGGGCTGCACAGGAAGGGGTCCCCAATCATGGGCTGGGTGGAGTGCAGAGATGGCCTCCCAGCCCAGGCCCAACCCCCCCCCTCCCCCGTGTGTTTTTCTGCAGCCATCCGGCCCATCTAGAATCCCAAAGTCAGCCATTGGCCAGGCGCTCTCCACCAGGAGGGCGGCTGAGAGGGACTGTTGGCTGCTCCCCACCCGTCCGGCAGGGGAGCTAAAGTGGCATTCCCACCAGAAGGCCACAGATGACTCGGTCAGAGTGCTTCGGAAGCACAAAGGCTGAGAGATGGCCCCCGGCTGTTGGGGGAGGTTTCGGCGGAGGATCCTTTTGAGCTGGAACTCAAGACAGAAGAAGGGGCGAGCCAGGAGGCGGACGGCAGGTGAAGGTTTGGAGAAGAAGCACAAGATGAGCTCGAGGGACAGCCAGTGCGGAGAGGAGCCCCATCCTCCTCTAGGACAACCTGCTCCTCACCGGGCAATCGTCTGGGCACCGTCTGGGGACGCTCAGTGACTTCCCATACTTCAAGCAATAGGCCTCACCAGGCGGGTTGTCAGTTTTGAGGGAAGCAGCCACACTGCACATTGTATAACAGCAAACGCTTAAAGCGCCACAGAATTTGAGAGCGCTATGGTGCTGCATGCCAGCCGGCCAAATGCTTTACTTATATGAGCTCAACCCTCGTAACACCCACGACGAGGGGTTATTATCACCCATGATTTAAAAATCATTCTCACCGGTGAGAAAGCCAAGGCACAAATGGCTTGAGTAACAAGTTCTACGTAGAAAGGGAAAGAAACGAGATTTCCACCCAGGAAGCCTGGCTCCAGAGCCCACGCTCTGAACCATTCACCCCCTCTCAAATGCCTCTGCTGGTCCCTCCAAGGAACCAGCCCAGTGCTGACCCCTCCACATGTACCTGAATCAAAGAAATTGTTAAAGAGACTACAAACTGTGTTGCCAAGTAAGGGTTTGCACCTTGCAAAGTGCAAGGTGCAGAGACAGTGGGTCAAGCCTACTCCTAAGAAAAGTAGTGAGTGAAGGCCAGGCCCCCTCAGAGCAAGGCAGTGGGCAGTTGCTGGGCCAACCATCCCTCGGCCAGGGCACCAAACAGAGCCAGATAAAGAAAATCCCACGAGTAAACACGGTTCACTTTGGACTTGGGATGCATCCAGCATGCGTAAGGACCCCGTCATTTCAAAGCTTCTGCCACTTCTTTGCATTGCTGAGAGTGGAAACAAAAGGAATTGGTTTCTTTTGTTTAAGAAAACACAGTGGGATGTTTCCTTGACTTCCCAGAAGCCGACTTTAGTGCCGGGAGAGAAACTAAAAAACCTCAGTAAGAAAAATAACAGAAATTTGGGCTTTAGAAGCTGGCAGTGAGAAAAGAGAAGGCTCCGTCTTGAAGGGAGGGGAAAGCTAAGGATACAGGAGCCTTGGGGAGACACGAGGCTGAGGTGGGGGGATGCAGCACAGGGCTCGTTCCCACGATGAGGGACTGCGGACGACGGCCTTGACCACATTTCTGTGACATGCCCCCCACACTCGTCTGTGACCCCAACCCTCTATGACTCCGCTGACGTCTGCTCCCCATCCTGGCCTTGTGCTGGCAGCGCTCTGAGGGAGAGACAGAATGAGGGCAGCGCTCAGCATGGCTCAGAGTCTCTGCAGCCAAGGGTGCCAGGACGGAGGCGCAGCTGTGGAAGAGCAGGCTGTCCGGCAGCCGACCCAGGAGAGGGACCTCGGCCCCACCAGAAACCCTTCTGACACATTAGATTGAGCTCTGAACTCTCCTGCGTGTGGGCATGGGGACGGTGTAAGGGAAAAGGGGCAGGCACATTTGGGTTTCTATGGAACATTCCAAACGCTTTTGCCATCACGTAACAAGGAGCCATTGGGGTTTGGGGTGGGCCTTGCTTCCCACCAATGAAACTCTCGGTCCACCTAGAAAGTCCCCAGTCACGGGCTGAGTAGGGCTCAGACAGGCTTCCCTACCCAGGCCTGAGCCCTCTGTCATTTTCCCAAAGTCCTCTCAAGGCTGAGCTGAGATCCCAAACTCAGCCATTCACCAAGGCCTCTTTACCCTGTAAGACAAGCCAGAGGGTTCTTGTGTCCATTTTCCAGATACAGAAACTGAGGCCCAAGGGGGGAAAACAACTTCTACGAGGCATACGGTGAGAAAGTGAGAGCTGACATGTGAACCGAGGACGACCTGCCTCCAAAGCCTGTGTTCCGACCGCTACGTCACACTTCTGCCCCCAACCAGTCTATCTTTCTGTCGTTCCCCTGGCCCACGTGCTCCAGGGGCATAGAACTTTCCCTCCCTCCACTCACCCTGATGGCCAGCTCTGAGGTGGGCCCGGAGGATGTGCCTGGAGAAGGGCAACCCACTGCACTGAACTCCAAGCATCCCAGTGGCCGGGACCTCAGCAGCTGAGTTTCCAAGGCTGGGCACCTGGGTCAGCAGGGTGGACGGACAGCCCAAGAATCAGCTAGACATTTCCAGGCCATCTTGAGAGACCAGAGCGGCCAGGAAGACACACTGTGGGCGGGATGCTGGCCGCCTGGGAGGCAGAAACACAAAGAGCCACAAAGTCGGTGGGCGGCAGAGGCAGGAAGAGGCCACAATGGGCCCTGGCTGACCGGAGATGTCCCAATTGTTAGCACCAGCCCTCCGCCTGTTTCCATCACACTGCCACGCAGGCCACACTGTAGCTTGGGGACAGCTGGACAGGAGGAGGGCGGGCGAGGTTTAAGCAGCCACCCGCCTGGATCCCTGGGCGAGGAGGGCACTCCTGGCCCCCAAGCTGGGGCAGTATTTCTGGTCTCCTTTCGGCCATTCATTCACTCACCCAACAAACATTTCTTGAGCACCCACGATGCTCTGGGCCCCGTGACAGACCCTGGAAATACCCTTCAGAGAGGTCACATGAGGCACTCCTTGGTCCTTGGGTGGGGCAGATTCTCCCCGGCCAGGAACAGCTCTCACCAGTCCCAGCCCCCAGGAAAGGCTGAGCATGTTCCTCACTGACCATCTCCTTTGCCCCAAATTGAACTCTTCACACATGTTGAAACAAAAAACCTAGCAGCGTGAACAATGTTAATGAGAGACCATTCAGCCAACAGAAGCTCCAGCTGAGCCCCAAATGCATCTCTTAAAAGCCTCACTCAGGCCTTCGCCAGCCCCCAGTAGGTCTCTGGGGGCACAAGGGAGGCAGGCAGGAAATCGGGCGTGGACCGCAGGAGAAGGGGTCACCGGAGTTCTGCACACCCTGGGACCCGCAGGGCTGTCTCAGGGGAGGGGGGTGCTGGGGAGGAGGCGAGCGCTCCACCAATGACTGGAAAGAAATCTAAGCAATGGAATGTGCACCTTGAGTGCTCGATGTTACTGAACCATTTCCTTCGCTCTCCGCTCATGGGCTCCCTGGAGAGCTGTATTCACTGTGTTTGCTCACTGACACTGCTAGAGAAGGGCAGGCGGTTTGTCTGCACCAAACCATCTGCCCAGCAGGGTCCATACAGGCATGCACACATACACGGATGTGCGCGCACACACACATCCCCCTCCCATGCCAACCCATGAGCTCTAATAGCATGGTCGTCGCTCATAAGGAGCGCTGGCCTTGGCCACCCACGGCTTGCCACCTGCAGGGAGAGGATGCGGTCTTGGCCCAAGGAAGCCATGCCTGCACAAGTCTGTAGCTCACAGGGGCTCAGCATCTGGGAAGTATCTCTGCAGCACCTCAAGGCCCGACAGAACCTACCAAGGCCATCCACCACCCAGTGGAAGATGGAGCTTGCCCTGCCTCTGACTTCAAACTTTGGGTCTGGGGGCTCCAGGAGGGGAAGATCCAACCAATTTCCAGTCAGGCCCTGCTCCCCTGAGGTATAGAGACTGGACATGTGGGCACTGTCCGGCTTCTCACAGCTACCTCAGGGTCGGTCTGGGGACATCGGGGCTGGGAGGGAACAGAAAGGACTGGCCCAAGAAACCCAGAAAAGGGAAAGATCCAGCTGGAGCCACGTAGCATGTTAGCAGCAAGGCCGAGCCCAGACCCCAAACTCTTAGGTGCTACGCAGGGCTCTCCCACTGCCCTTGCCACTTTCATCCCAACCCCTACCCAAAGCACAGCCAGTCTGAGCCCCCTTCTTTGCCCTCCCTCTTTTATCAGGAGGATATGCACTACCCTCCAATAAGAGTCCAGTTCTGTAGGCAGCCCGCCCAGGTTACCAAGCACTGCCCCCAGTATTCCTCACAGCTTACTGGGTCCCAGATTGTCTGAGCTGGGTGGGGATGGGCAGGTGCACGGAGCAACAGTGTACAGTGTGTGCTTGTGCACGCGCATGCATGCCGGTGGTGGGAAGGACTCAACAACGCGCATGAAGGGGAAGCTGGTTAGAGGGAAGGAGGAAAGGGCAGAGCAGCAGGAAACCAAGGGCAGTAGCTCTCACCTGCCCTCCTCCCACGGCAGCTCCCTGCGACTCCAGGCTCAGCTTGTTCTGAGGGCTGCTCCTTATCACTGACCTTGGTCAGGATGGTGGGGAGCGGGGGTGCCCCGAGAGAGGGGCTGGCCTCTGAGGGAGGTACCTTGCTTTTCCCCCTCAGTGGGCAGGGGAAAGCCAGAGACAGAGAAGAAGTTGTAAGTGACTTCCTGTGTGGTGGCGAAAGTGGAGGTTCTCACTGCCTGGTGTCTGAGGGGGGGCCCGCAGGGGCTGAGCACACAGGTCAGGTCTGCAAACAGGCAGGAAGTTTTCCTGGAGCAAAACCCGTCAAAACAGAATTCTTTTGCTGGGTAATATTTTCCTCCCAGCCCCCGTCACCCATGCTCAAACAGGTCTGTTGTTGTTTTCATAATCTGGGAGAGGAAATCAAGCCCCTTTGAGCGGAGACCTCAGGCGCCAAACCAAACCGCTCAGCAGATACTCCCAGCTGGCTTTCCGTTCCAGAGCGGAGGAGGGCACGATGGAAAGTTTGGGGTAGAGAGTCACTCCACACTCCCACGTGCTCCTGCTCACCAGCCCCAGCCACACGCGCTCCAGCTTCCTGGGGCCAAAGCACTAAATTAACGGAGCCGAGAAGGAGCAGTGGTCTCCTGTGCCGGAAATGTGGTGAGTGTGGCTGCAACGAGCACTTATTGGGCACCTGGTGTGGGTCAGCTACTTTGCATACATGACCTAATTTAATCTTCACAGCAACCTCCTGGGTCACTGTGGAATCCCACATTCATACATTTGGAGCCAGGCTCAGACAGGGTGAGTAACTTGCCCAACGCCATACAGGTAGCGAGAGGCAGGCCCAAGATCGGAACACAGGTCTAAGTCCAAAGCTCTCCCCACCGCACTCCACAGCCCCCCAAAACATCTCCGGAACAGAAACCTCCCAGCAAAGGTTGGGGTGTGTAGGGAGGCTTGCCAGCCTCGAACGGAATACCAGAGTCTGAGAGCCCACAGCCCAGGGGCAGGACCTGACCACACATGCTCAAGTGCCCCAGACCGTGGACAGCTCTGCACCAGAGCGCCGGACACAAACAGAGCACCCAGGCTGCCCAGAGCGGTGAACTCAGAACACTGTGGGAGGTGGCCCAGGACCTCCTGGGCACAAACTTACCTTCCTGCAGCTTCACGCTCTGGAGGTAGAGAGGGTTCCTCAGGACGTTGCAGCGGCCCGGCTCATCTTCCTTGGTGAAGAGCAGCAGGTCCGAATAGGCAAACAGTGTCACCTGCATCAGGCGAGAGCAAACAGAATGGGCTCTTCAGCTGTCCCAGAGGCCAGGAGCCACAACTTCCCCAAAGGTCCAGGAAAGGAGTCCTCATCGCCTTAGGCAGAACCTGGAGCAGACTCAGTGTGGCCTCAACCAAGGGCAGAGACCTGCACTGGAGGCAAGAGCGACTTTTTGCCCTACAGTTTTCAACAGCTCCTCTCCTCACAGGAGGAAAAACTAAACCACACAAAAAAGGACCCTCACCCTCCGTGGCAGGTGGCCCCCTGCAAGCTCTCCACAGCCTGACACCTCACAGGCGCCTCCTTTCTGGCCAAAAGCCCCGGAATCACCTTGGCTTGGAGCCATGCTTGAGCTGAAGGATGTCCCGCATCTGCTTGTACTGTCCTCTAACCATCTGGGAAAAAGAGCACTGGACTTCGGCTCAGAAGTCACCAGGCTCTCTCCCCTTAAGTAGTTATGAAAACTCAGTTAAGTCTCCCAAGTGTCCTCATCTGTACAACCAGGGAGAGCCCCTGCCCGGCTCCCTCACAGGCCCCTTTTGCAAGCCCTGTGCAGACAGTGAAAGAAGCATCGTGCAACGTTCACCGCTATTACCAAACTGCTTGCGGTAACTTTAACCAGTTTAAGAAGAAGCCAGTTACTTATGCTCCGACACAGGCATGTGCATAACTTTTATCTCTTTTATGCACCAGCTGCTCCAAAAACAAAGGAGAAAGCTATTTTTAGACATTATAGGTAAACCAACAGGCATGCTCAGCATATTTTTGTGCTGCAGAAATCAACTTGACCCTAATGCCACCAAAGATCACACTGCTCTCTGCTTTGTAAATTCTGCAGTGGCCTTTAGTCAGGAGGAATAAAACCCACGTTTAGATTCTCTGAAGAAAACAAAATATGATTAACTATGTGAACTTCCTTTTGAGGTGTCCAAATCTGATCCTTCGTCTCTTCCCAAGTAAGAAGAGTCAGCCAGCAGGGGCTGGCAGGCACCACTGAGGGCCGCGACGAGTGTGTGTGTGGACTGTCGCTGTAGTTTAAAAGGCCGATATGTTGCCACTTAGCGACCGGGCTGTTAAAGGTGACCCAACAACGCTACCTCTGAGATCATCCCACAGAAACACTCACAAGGCTGTGTGAATATGAACCTACATGGATGTTCTCAGCACTGTTTCATTAAAAAAAACGTACACACACTGAGGTTGAAGAGCAAAGGGACTCAAATACATGGTGACGGAAGGAGACCGGACTTTGGGGGGTGAGCACACAGTGCACAACGTACATAACCTTATACAACCAATGTCACTCCAATAAGTTTCATTTTTTAAGTACATTAATTAATGGCAGTGGGGATGAAGTAAAAAAAAATAGAATAAAATAAACAAGGGTAAAAAAATCATAAACGCTGAAAGTCGAAATAGTGCAATGTGCAAAAGTATCAAGAGTATAATCCAATTTTGTGAAATAAAACTATAATCCTGCCTATATTTAACATTTTTTAAGTGTCGAAGACACCATACTCTTCACTCTGGGGGACGAATTTTTCTTCATACATGTCTGCTTAATTGGAATTACTTTGCAATGATAATCTGTTACTTTTGTAATTTGAAAAAGCATATAAATATTTTCCAAAGGACCCCACGGCTTCCTGAGCACAGCAGAGACACAGAGGTGCGAAGGAATCTGGCCAGAGAGACCACAGGAGGCGTCCGCGAGCAACAGGCTCTGGGACGGGGCCTAACACGAGGGCTCGGGAGCCCCGGGCTGGGAGGGACCCTGGCGATGATGCCCTCCAACCCCCTTCCCACCACAGCCCAGGCCCAACACAGCCCAAAAAGAGCCTCCGTTTGTTGAGCACTTCTTTTCTGCTCCATGGATCCTCACTTGTACACAACACCATTGCCCTCAGTTATATAGATGAGGGCCCTGCAGCTCAGAGAGGTTAAGTGACCTGTCTAAGATAACACAGCCGGGGACCATTGCCCAGGGAGAGCTGACCCCAAAGCAGTCACTATACAGAGAGGAAGTAATATATGCAATACCTATAGTTGTCCTATCCCTGAATGTGAAAGAATCCAAGCAGGGACCAGAAAAAAGGAGCAAAGGAGACCAAAAAATAAATAAAGTTAAGGGAGGGGAAGAAAATGATCGGAGAGTTCAAAAGGATTTGAGGGGTTCGTTGTCTGAGGCGAAGTCTTCAAACAGGAGAAGGCTCTAAACTCGCCCAACACAGGCAAACCGTTGGTCTCCCCGGCCGCTCAGGGGAAGCCTGGCGGCCACCTGCGGGCCCACTGGGAAGCTGGCAGGGGAGGGGCTGGAGAAGTGAGGAGCCTATAAAGTCAAAAAATGGCCCAGGCCCAGAAAGGACTGGGCAGATGCTAAGTGCCCAGGGGCAAGGTACAAAACGCCCCAGGCTGCTGCTCTGGCCCTGATTCCCAGAGCTGGAAATGTGGTCTAGACAGGAAGTGATTAAGGCATGAACGAAGAATTTCCCCCAAGTCGGGTCATGGAAAGGACAGAGCTGGCACACAGCTGAAGACAGGGCCAGTGGCAAGTGCACCAGGGGAGGCAGGTGGGCCCCTCTGCCACGTCACCAGCACCCTGCAGCCTTCACTCCAGCGGGAGCCACAGGGGCCCACGGTGGAGTGATGCCCACCTCCACGGCCCTGTTACCTGCTGCCTGCCAAGTGTCTTCTCTATACTTGCTCCAAAGACACATCTGTTTTCCCAAAGGGTCAAGGATTGAGGAGTTGCTTGGTTAGGGAATCCTTGCAACTTGGAGGGTCCTTTCTCCCAAGTATCCCTAACCAAGCTTCCTCCAGGAATGTGGCCTAAGGGCAGGGTTTGCAGTAAAGACCTTGGTGCCTTAGTTAATGGTAAACTCAGCGGAGTTAGTGTGTAAAGTGAGGGTGTGTCTGTCTTGGGCCCCATAGTATTCCTGGAAGCGCTAGCACAGGGCCCATCGACACTGTAGACGCTCGGTACCCGTTGTTGGAATGTATAAACCAGGCTACTCCATTATGCTAATTTGACCCCAGGGCACATTAATAAAGTCTGTGACTTCCAGGAGTGGGTATGATGAGGACAGTTCGTGGTGTGGGTCTGGATCGGCTCACAGACTTCAGCAAACTCCTGCTCAGAGCAGAGACCAAGAATCACAGGGGAACATTTCTGGACTAAAGATTCCTGTTGAGCATAAGGGAAAACTTTCTACATTTAGCACTCTCTGTTAACAAAACCCGTGTCTGGAGGGACGGCCTCTGCAGACACACTACTTGCTGGAAAACCGTCAGCTGGGAGTTACAGGGAAGCGATCGGAAGGAACACCCCCTGAGGACCAAGCAACGCTGCCGTTCTACAGACTTACTCAAGTCCCTCTTGTGCTGGTTTATATTTCGGGCCTGAATAACGTGGCAGGACACCAAGATGCTCATATACGCTTCCCAGCATAATTTAAGAAACACAAATATATTTATTTTTACTTGTCTTCATAGCACTTTCCTAGATCTTCAAAGGGAGTCCTCTTAGTTCTGAGGCTCCAAAGACCTACGAGCAAAGAGTTTTGGGCCAGACTATAATCAGGTGATGGCTTCAGCTTGTGTTTGCAAGTTTGATTTTAAACAAACAGGCCAGAGGCAGAATGGGATGCTGGGAAGCACTGCTGAGCCCCAGATCCCAGTGCTAATCCTGGCTCCACCTCTTGTGAGCCTAGAGCGCCTCCCGTTAATCTCACTGGCACCTCGGTTTCCTCATCTGTACAGTGGGGACAGTTGTGCCTCTCCTGGAGGTGCTGAGATCTGCTACATGGAACACATGCTCTAGACTTAATAGTAAGTGGACAAACAAAAGGGCAAATTTAGACGTACGTGTGTAGTTCAGGATGGCTGCCATTTCTAAGTGCCTTCTTTGGAATCTCGTGAATTTACGGCCCCACCTCACAACACTGGCCACCTGACTTAGCTCCACCACACCCTCATTCACCAAGCACAGTTCAAGTGACTTCTTATTCCTAACATTCAAATCCCCCTCAATAGATCAAGTTTTACTCCCATCAAGGCAACTTGGAAGATATGCCAAGGTCCTTAAGAAAGTCCCCCAAGAAGGGGTCTGGAAACGTAGTGAGCAATGCCAGGGCGGTAGCATCAATAAGCATGCGGTCTCCCCAGGGAGCTCCTTGGAAAGAGGTGATGCACATTGGAACATATGAGTTCTGGTGTGCTTGTTCAAAAAACAAACAGGGCAGCCTCCTGCTCTGTTAGCCACAATTACACATAATGTCCCAGAATGCTGGGGCTGAGAGGGCCCTTCGAGATCAGCTGCCTCAAATACACACACACACTGTTCAGATGAGACAACTGAGGAAGAAGTCATGAGTGAGCCAGCAGCAGAGCAGGAGCTGGCCGTATGCTTCCTGCCTTCAAGTTTCCTAATATTTCCACGCCATCCCAAGCTGTCACTCAATCCAGCCAGCTAGGGTGCCAGTGCTGAGTCAGGGCCTGATCTGCAGCAAGCCCCTTCCTTACCCTTTCTTCAAGGCCCTCAGGTAGCCTTGAAGATCCCAGGACTCCAGCTTCTGTGCCCAAGTAGGTTTATACTCACGGGACTGAGCTGGAACCTGGCCAGCTCTGTGGATGGGTGGGTGAGTCAAATTCCCTGGGCCAGACATCAGCAGGGGCCAGCTCCCCCAAAGAGGCATGATCTCCACACCCTCTGGCTGGCCGAGCTAAAGCCCAGGAGAAATCACAGACTTATCCCCTTAGAAGAGGATCTGGGTTAATACAGACCCATAAAACCTGCATAACTGATGCTCCTCTAAAAATTCTCTTTGGCTAACAGTTTTCATCTTCTCACCTACAAAGTCATTCATCACAGCTGGGAGGAACGGCCACCTCTTCCACACCTCAGAGGAAGTTAGACCACACAGTGGGATGTCTTCAGGGGCTAGGAAAACTTTCTGACTATCAAAGATGGACTAAACAGCTTTGAGAGGTAGTGAGTTCCTTGTTGTTGGAAATGTACAAGAACAAGCTGGGTCACCGTGCGGTAAGTAGGGCATGGAGGGGATGGAAGCCTTTTCAGGTTTTCTCTGCCCTGAGACTGTACAGTTCTAAGACCCTCAGGAAGAGAGAAGAGTTTGGGGCCCGGAGGACAGCCCACGAGGCCCACCAGGACAGCCCACCTGGAACGCTGTGCGCCAGCCTTACCTCAGCAGCCTTGTTCCTCCCCTCGTACAGCAGCAGCTCCTCTGACAGCAGCAGGGTCCGGGCAGGGTTACAGAGATCTAAAGGCTGAAATCAAAGCGGGGAGTTCAGAGAGGCCTGGTGGAGGGGGCTGGGGGTGGCGGGGAGAGACAGCTTGACACGGCCTGACACAGAAAAGTCTGCCAGCCCTCCTCGCACCCCAAAAACCCACACACCCCCTCATACACAGATGGAAACAGAAAGACAGACGCTCTGCTCCTGGGCGGAACTGTTACTGCCACCTTTACCGCCAGCTCTCACCGCGAAGGCTACACTCTCTGGCAGGAAGTCCAACCACGTGCTGCAACCCCCCTCCACCCCCCGCCGGTCCCTCCACCACACTGGGCTCCTGGGACTTCCCAGGCCCACACCCGCCGTGCCGGCCTGTTCATGCCTCATGGGATGGTCCCTACTCTTAGGTCCAGGCTCTCAGGACACGTCTGGAGAAGTCTCTGGATCCCGAACTAGGCCAGATTGGATCACTTGAGCACCTGCCCACCCCAGAGCTCTGGAGTCCCCAGCAGGGCTTATCCTCATGAATGCGTCTTTATGACATGGCTTCCAGGCACCTGACACCAAATAAGGTGCTGGAGGAAAGAGACAGAAACAAATGTAACAACACACAACAACCTGGACGGTCCCTACAAATAATGTGAAGCAAAGGAAGCAGCGTTCAAAAGACTACATGTGGTACAGTCTCATTAAAACACATTCAAGCCCTGCCCTGAGCGGCGTGGCTCAGTTGCTTAGGGATCGTCCTGCAAAGCAAAAGGTCTCCAGTTTGATTCCTGGTCAGGCACATGCCCAGGCTGCGGGTTCTGTCCCTGGATGAGGCGTCCCCAGACAGGGCACGCAAGAGGCAACCAATCAGTGTTTCTCTCTCACATCAATGCTTCTCTCCGTCTCTTTCTCCCTCCCTTCCCCTCTCTCTAAAAATAAATAAATAAGATCTTTAAAAAACATTCAGAAAGAGGCCAAGCCAAATATATTATTTAGGAAAGCCCACATAGACGGTAAATCTAAAGAAAAGAAAGGAAATGACTGTCATAACGTCAGGCCAGTGGGTGCATCCACTGGGGAGGAGGACATTCCGACCAAGAAGAGATACAGACCCAGTGTCCAGAGCGGCGGCAAGGGTCTAGTCCTCAACCTTAGTGGGTATCCATCCACTTACGATTACTCGTTAAACTGCACATGGAAGTGTTGACCTTTTTTTTTCTTTTTTTTGGTTTACATATTTTATCATTTAAAATTTTTTTGCCACTTTAAAAAAACTCATTCTGTTTTTGCAAAAATGTAAAAACAAAAACAATAACCCTCCTAAGTGCCCAGACTTTGGGGCTACATCCCAAGAAAGAAAAGAGGCCAAGAGAAAGGCAAAGGGTGAGCCCTACTGCAGGGGCCATCTGGGACAGGCGTGTCACCTGCCAGAGGAGCGCGGTGCCCGAGCTCTGCTAGACAGTGCCGGGCCCGGAGTCAGAGGCCAGGAGGACCAGAGAGGAAGTGATGGTCAGGGAGGGAGCTCAGGGAACAGTGTCACCTCTGTGTTGCTGACGAGAGGCTAAATGAATCAAATCTTTATAGACAGCAATTTGTCAATATGTATAAAGAGCCTTTAAAATGTTTATGACCCATGACTCAGTCCTTTTACTTCTAGGAATCCCTTCCAAGGACAATAATCAGAGAGGCAATTCATGCACAGGGATTCTCATGGCAGAGTTATTTACAACAGCAAAAGAAGTTAGACACACGAGTGTCTGAACAGAGAAACGGTTAAATAAATGTGGTGCACCCACATAATAGAAGAGCCCCCAACCACTACAAAACACAGACTCAAAGGGTATTTAATGATGTGATAAATGTTCGTGCAATTTTCCCTTAAAAAGAGCAGCAGTAGGGCCTGGCTGGCATAGCTCAGTGGATTGAGCGCAGGCTGCGAACCAAAGTGTTGCTGGTTTGATTCCCAGTCAGGGCACATGCCTGGGTTGTGGGCCAGGTCCCCAGTGGGGGCCATGTGAGAGGCAACCACACATTGATGTTTGTCTCTCTCTCTTTCTCCCTCCCTTCCCCTCTCTAAAAATAAATAAAATCTTTTTTAAAAAAAGAACAACAGTATATAAATGTACAAAAAGACCTATTTGGGTTTTTTTTTAAATGTGCATATGCACACAGAAAAGACACATAAATGCTCACACTGGCTCTATCTGCATGGTGAAATAAAGAAAGTCTTAGAAAGGGGTAGGAAATGGAGGGGAAAGTAAGAGAAAGGAGACTTGAGTGAATCTCAGGCCACCAGCTACTACCAGCCAGGTAGGTTTGCTTGGAGCAAGGAGACCAGACAAGAGGCCAGACTTCAGGCCTCTGCCTTGGTCATTGCATTGCCACACAACGAACCACTGGAGGAGCCCGGAGGCAGAAGCCCCAGCACACAGACCCTGTGACCATACGACAAGCAACTGTAGAGTGTCTGGCCTGTCCCCAGAGAAAGGGGAGGTTGGGGGGAACCAGGAAGGGACCCTCTTGTTGCTGAGCTCCCCGGCCCCCACTCTCCCATTCCCCCTACTGGAGACCTGTGCTCCGTCGGTATAATCCCCAAAATCCTGAGTACCTGAAGCTATTTATCTTTCCCTAAAGGGAGCCCCAGTCCTGGAATGAGGCACCATCCCTGAGTCCTGGGTGAAGGACCCTCCTCTTTCTCATCTCCTCTAGAGTGAGTCCTTGGGTCCAGCCATAGCTCACCTGGACAAAGACAGGGAACACCAGGACCTTGGGAGCCAGGGTGACATAGGTGCCATAGCTTGAGTGTGGGGTGTGTGGCCTCATGACTGAGCAGTTCTGGTAGTTCGCGTGGCCCTTCATGGTCTGCACTGTCTTCATCAGTCGTGACTTCTTCCCCAGGCCTGTATAGGACTTCCCTTTGCTGGGACTCCCTGATTCTGTAGAACAGAGACAGGAGATAGTGAGACAGTCCCATTCCCCCCAAAAAGGTACCCCCTCCTAGAAAGAGGAACAGACTCAGTCAACAGTCATTTGCTGGGAGCATCTGCTATATGCCAGGTCCTGTGCAAGATGCTCAGACTATAGGGAGGCCCCGGAAGGGCCTTGAACCTCAAGGAATTCTCTCATAGTCTTTGAGAGATAAGGACACATGAATAAGCAACTGCACAGCTAGGATGGTGCTGGCAACCACCAACTGTGCTGCAGGGTGCAGACCCCGTCTGGTGAGCCAGGGCCCAAATCAGACCTATCAGCTTGGCCGCAAACCTATGGAAATCAGGAAATCTTTCACATTTGATAAACCTGAAGGCCCGACCCCACCAGGCCCCACAGTCCCACCCAGAACAATCACCTAGGGCAGAGCAGTGATTGGGTGGCACAGGGCGTGCTCTCTGCTCTCCAGCATCCCCACCACTCCCTGCACACACCCAGTGCTGCTCGCCTACTCCATTGCCTCCCATGTCCCATGAACGAAGGGCCTGGAGATCCAGTCTCTGCAGTGGTAACAGACACAGTGGGCTTTCCCAGGATGCATTGGGGTCTGGCCTTTATTAGCCAAGGGAGCTGGGGCAGCCGGCTCACTTAAGTCAGTCTAGGATGAGGAGTGTGGCACCTGCTTCTCCAGTTGTCACGGAAGAGCACCAGCAAGAAGCCAAATGGCTGTGCCTGAACCCCCCTCCTCTGCCTGCTAGCTTGGTGACCTCTGGCAGCTTACTTCCCCCTCAGAGTCTTGGCTGCCTCTACTATAAGAGTACCAAGCCCACTGGGTTGCTGGGAGGATTAAATGAGATGCTCCAAGGCCCTAGAACAGTGCCTGGGACCTGTAAGTGTACAATTAAAGTTGGCTGCTCACTTATGATGGTGCTTATTGTAAATCCTTCATGTGGAAAGCAAATTAATCTGGTGCTTCAGGAACTCTGGGAGTCCGGGGCTTTATCACAGCTCTGATGTCCTCCCAGCTTCGCCACTAACTCACAAATTACTCCAATCAGAAACAGGAGAGAAAGAGGGGGTAGGACACACCCCTGGGAAAGAGAGCAGAAGGCCCTTAAAGAGGGGACACTGCTAAACACACACCCTCACATTGAACAGGGTGGCACACAGGACTTGATCACGTCCCATCCAATGGTCAGAGTAGCTAAAAAGTCAGGGATTCTCGGACCGGAGCAGGCAGGAGGCACACTCTGGAGCGTTCAGGCTCCACGCACCCCCAGCCCCTCCCAGGGTTCCTGCAGCCAGTGGGGCAGCTGGCCAGCCTTCCCTGACCTGCATGTCCCTGGGTCAAGGCCTCCTACTGCCACCCCCGGTCCTGGCAGCCAGGGAGTAAACAGGTGTCCTGACCCCGGTTACATCTCGGGGAAGCTCCCCACCAACGCGAGGTCCACAACCTCAGAGGAAAAACTCAGCTCAGAAGGTTTCACACTTGCTTCCTACACCCACCTCACACCTCTTCTCACCCAGCGGCATGAGAAAAACAAGTCGACACCCCCAATCCCATGAGTGACCACCCATCCCAGCCTCTCTTGGGGCAGCACTCAAATCACAATCACTAAAACCACTTCCTGCCTTGTCAGGAGGCACTTATAGGAAAGAAGAGAGCGCCTGAGTCCAAGATGGGGCTGGGAGTGTGGCAGGGTGGAGAGAATCTTGCACAAACGCAGCTACACATCTCATCTGATCAGGCCCTGACATCAACTCTGGGCGCTTTGCTGAAGGAACCCATCCCTTACCAGACCTATCAGGGGATCACTTTGTACGTTACATAAACGTCTAACACCCGAAACTAAAACAATATTGAATGTCAACTGTAACCGAAAATTTAAATAAGATTTAGAAAAGAACCCGACCTGTACTTGGAGTCGGACAAGACGCCTGAACTAAGCGCTGCTTCCCAGAGCCTGGCTGTGCAGCCCTGAGCAGGTTCCTTCGCCCTCCGGGCCGGCGGTACCTCTGCCGCAAAGCGCGGCTGCACAGACCACCACCCTGCCCGTTCCAGGGCCAGTGTGGGGCACACAGGGGAGGCGGGTGGGGAGGGCCTGGTGAACGGTGCCAGAGTGTGAGCGCACAAGTGGTCACTACACACCCCAAGCGACAAACAGTCCACCCGCCAGGGCCGCCGTTAGGGCAGGACCTCTGGGCCTCGAACCAAGCTGTGGCTGGAGCCACAGGGTCAGCCTGGAGCTGGACAGTCTAACCTCACACAGGCGAGCCTGGACCGGAGAAGGCCAAACCACACAGGACCGAGAAGCAGGGAGCGCGGCAAAACAGAACAAAGTGAAAGAAAGGTGCCTTGGCTGATGCCCAAATCTGGGCACTGTGCCCCCATCTCAGACGTTTAAAAGAATGCGTTTCTGCCCTCGCTGGGCGGCTCAGTTAGCTGGAGCATCATCCTGTACACCAAACGGCTTCAGGTTCGATTCCCAGTCCGGGTGAGTACAGGAGGCAACCAATTGATGTTTCTCTCACATCAGTGTTTCTCTCTCTCTGTTCCCACTTTCTCTCTCTCCCAAATGAATAAACATATCTATCTTCCAGCAAGGATTTGAAATTCATTTTTAAAAAATAAAATGAAATAAAAATAAAAAGAGGGCACCTGCTCCCTCCCCTCGCCTGGCTGCCCAGGGCTGTCCCAGCACCTTTGCCTGGGGCTGGAGAGTCATGAACGGGCCATTTGACGCACACCTCTGCTTTCAGATGGGAAAGCTCTGCGCAGCTCTGCTTTGTGCAGCCCTCAGACAAGGCTGCTGAGGCCTGGGTGGCTGAGTGACTCACCCAAGGTCATTTGGCCAATAATGGTATAGGGCAGGAGCAACCCAGCTCGTACGGCGGTGGTACCCTGGAGCCGTCTCCACATACCCCTGGGTGATGTATGGCGAGTGGGCCTAGCTCTCCAGAGCTGATTTCTGAAGTCTCTTTTCAAAAATCAATCCGATTGCAACCCACCTACTGAGTGCTGTGAAGGCGAACTACTCGACTCCCCTCCTGCTGCCTCTTACTGTCTCGGCTCCAACCTCCCTTCTCCCCCCTTTTCACTCCAACACCTGCTTCACTGACCAAACACAGTCATTACGAGGCTTTGCTCCAGCTTCTGAGCAAGCCCTGGCTGCTATCCCGCCCCAGCAGTGGCAAATCTGAGGCTGGGCTGTCTTCACAGAGCAGGGGACAATGCCGAGGGTAACAGCAGCCCAGGGGAATGTGCCAAACACAGGCAGGCAGGCACCCCAGGCCCCAAAAGGGCACCAGACACCATTCACCTCAGGATGGCTCAATCCTCCCTCCTGAACGGAGGCCAGGCAGCCCGGCCAGAGGAGGGGACAGAAGCCGGCACCCCGGTGACGGCCTTGGCCTCTGGAGAACCCTGCATGTGTTCGAAGGAAGTTTTGTGTCCTGGATTCCACCCCTCCCTCTAAGCCCCAGGACTTGGAGCTATGAAGACTTGCTCCCTGATAAAGAGCTAAGACGTTCTTGGATATGAAAAGAATTTTTATTATGAAGGAAGGCCAAGTTCTTCACACACTGCACTCAGAAAGTTACGGTCATTATTAACATCATCATCATTGCCTTACTAAGCTGTGTGTCCCTCTCCCCACAGCTTAGGCAGTGCGGCCCTTCTTGGGTCACTAAGCAGTGCGTTCTCAGAGGGGAACTGAAGCGTGGACACAGGTAGAAGGCCAGCAGTGAGACTCAGAGGCATCTCTCGGGCGGAGAGGGGACTGACTCCCAACCGCTAGCCCACCACAGGAGACATGCCCATCCAGCTCCCTTATTCCATGGCCAGTCTGCAAACCCGTAGAGGCAACCAGAGGCACTGTCCCTCCGCTGGCTGAGTAGTGGAAACCCTACAGCATACCTGCTATCTGTCACCCATCTAGCATTGCGCGCAGAAATGAGCCAGCCCAGGCACTGCCCTTAATGAAGTCGTCATTTAGCAGTGGCATCTCCACTGTGACCTAATGTACCAATTAAAACTTTTTAAGCTCAATGTGGAATCACTATCAGAGTTCTCTCCAGAAGGAATGCAGATTCATTTTCGACAGAACAGGCCCAAAGGCCCCAGCCTGGAGAGGATGGAGCCATCTTCCATCGGCAGCACCAGGCCTGATGGAAGCCCTTTCCCCCCAAAAAGACACAGGCGTTCTTCCAGATCCCTGCTCTAAGCAAGCCTCACCTTCACACTACTGATGGGGGGCGGGGGGGCAAGGACATAAGCGCAAGTGGCCGGGAGAGGGCCAGTCCTGAGGAAGGAGGTCAAAGGGCATTCCGCGGGCACTAGAGGAAGGGCTCCGGCATATCCCAGGTAGGCACCACGAACCAGCTGGCAAGGGGGGGTCTCAACCTTCTGGACACTCGAGTCAGAGGTCTCCAGCAGGGGGTCCGAAGGAATGCCCAGCCAGCTCCAGCATCAAGACTGATATCTCAGGCTTCCTAAGAGAGGGAGCTGGTTTTCAGCCCAGCTTCTCTCCCTGGCTCTTAAAAAACAGGGTCAGGGATTGAAGGCCAAAGAAGGAGAATCACTCAAACAGCAGAGATGCCTGTGCATTTCAAAGGTGACTACTGTCCGTGTCCTGGCAGACAGGCTTACCCACAACCACCATCTTCTTTAACCCTCCCACAGCCCTCTGAGGGGAACCATCGGCCCCATTTTATAGATAAAGAAACTGAGGCTTAGTGAGGGGACAGGAGTCCATCAAAGTCACGTGACTAGAACTCCAATCTGAGACCTCCCAGCTCCAAACTCCATGCCTCCGTCCATGCAGACCGTGCCACGTAGAATACCTGACATGTACTGGTTGCTCAGTAAAACTCAGGTGACTCTCAGGTGAATGGCTGCATCCTAAACACCATCTCTTAGATGCTCTGTAAGACCCCCTTTTCCTCCTGAGGCAGGAGGACACAGGGGTCCAGTGAGGGAGGAAACACACCAAGAGGAAACAGTCTGCGTCAACATGCAGGGGCACCTTGCCCCTGACCTCGGAGGAGGACCTCGCAGCTGACTGCGCTGTCTTTCAAGGGCTCTGAGGGCACAGCAGCAGAGGCCCAACTCACCTTCGGGGATGGCGTCCTCCTGGTACACAGGCCGCAGCAGCTGCAAGACAAAGACAGGAGACCCGCCTCAGCCCCAGGAACGGGGCAGGACGACCCAGCAGGCTGCTCTCGCCAGCCTGGGGATGGGGAGGGAGCACCTCAGGGCATGAAGGGGACACAGCGGTCCTACCACCAAGCTGAGAGGGGGCTCGGAAGGAACACAGAACCCAGAATCCTCCAGAACATTAGAGCGGAACAAGGCTTCAGCCGTTAGCAAGTCTAATCCCGTGGCCAAGTCCTCAACTTCCTCGATGGCAGCTTGTTCCAAAGAGTGTTCCACGAACACTGGCACTGCGGCAAGCTAACCACCCTGCCACAGAGGGCGCACCAGCAGGAGAGTCTAGGAAGTGCCGAGTTAAACGAGGCTGAACTACCGTCTCCACGTCAGGACACCCTCAGAGCCTCCAGTAGGCTAACATACTCTGGATATTTCTCAAACTTATTTGTCCTCAGAACACTTTTTCCCCCATTGCATCTCAAGGCATTTGTGTCTGGGGGCATGAAATCCATCTTCCCACCATGCCATCATACAGTGTCTGCTTTTACACCTCTGGTGACAGGGGACTTGCCACCTACCACACACAGCAGCCCCTTCCACTGGGAAAAGTGCAGACCGGCACAAAGCTCTCGTTACTTCTGGGGTGCAATCTTCTACTTTGTGACACCCCCGATTCTGGACCTCCCCTCTCCGCCTAGGGCAGCCCTGCAGCAATGGGGCCAGCACACACCCCACCTCCTCGCTCCGCACTCCCAGCCCCTCGCGGGCTCCTCCCCACACAGTTCTGAGTCCTTTCCTGGCCTCACACAGGGACCCATGCCCTTCACCTTCCCCAAACCAGCTGTCCATACCTGGCTCCCAGGGTTCAGCGGGGCCAGGATGATGTAGTTGGGGTCGGTGGGGGCAGTGGCACGGGACAGCGCAGGCAGGGTGTGCTGGCCCCCGCGCTTGGCCACCTCGGTGTAGCGCTCCCAGCCTCCGAGCAGCAGCCCATCTGAACTGTCACATACCAGGTGGCAGCTGTGGCGCTGCTCAGGCCGTGCCTGGGCCCCATGAGTGCAGTTCTTCTCCCGCTTGTTTGGGGGTGACAGGAGGTCGTGCGTTGACTTGCAGGATGCCCGCCGCAGGACCCCACCATCGGGTCCTGGCTTGACTTGGGGGACCATGCGCCAAACAAGCAGGATGATCTCACTCGGGCAGCTCCTGGGAAGGGGCGTGAGTCACAGACAGAAGTCAAGTCTGGGGGGCACCACCATCAGCCCATGTAGGGGCCTGCGGGGGGCAGGGGGAGGAGCCTAACGTCAGGGCAGGACGGAAATTAGAGACCATGCAAAGCACAGGCAGCACAGCGGCCCCTTAGGACAGCACTAATTGACTGAAGGCGGCCAAAAAGGATGCTGAGGCCAAGGTCATATTAAGCAAGTAGCAAACTCAATTAGTGATGTCTGTTGTGGGCAAAGTATAAGCAAGGAGGAGCAAGCATAGCACCTACATGCAACCCCTCAGCCAGTCATTCTAGAAGCAAACCGACAAGGGGCCATGAGGGGTCTACCCCAGCAGGTCAAATTTTAGGGGACCCAAACATTTTAAAGAATAATTTTTTAAATTGTGCAACTGGCACATTTGCAACATCTACACATCCTGTAAAAACAATGGGCTGAGCTACGAGGTAGCAGAAATAATTAGCTAAAGTAGAAAGCCACCCCCTGGAGCTGCCTCAGGAACCACAGGGTTCGTTTGAGAGCTTCTTCCCTGCCGTTTGCTTGGAGCCTGAACCTTCCATTTGCAGGCTCAGAACCTGATTCCCTGAGGAGCAAAGTGAATTGCTAACAGCTGGGCAAAGGGGGCAGGATGGGGCCACAGGGCAGGGGAAGGGAGGTGAGCCATCAGCCTGGGCCCCAGGCTGCCCGCCCCCGCCCCCGGCCCTGCCCCTCTCACCGGATCTCGTGGGCCAGCTCCACACATTTCCAATGCTCCACAGGCCTCTCGTTCAGCTGCAGCACCGTGTCCAGCTGCTGCAGCCCTGCTCTCTCTGCCGGGCCCCCTTCAGGGACAAAGAAGACACTCAAGGGCGCCTCAAACCTGTAACCCCCTCAAAGGACCTGGGGTCCTTTGCTTCCCCAGCAAACTAGGACAAGGACTGCCCCTTTCTTGTTTCTCCATCTATGAAGGGGCTGACACTGGTGGCTCCTAGGGACCTTAAAGGAACACACTCTTTACCTGTTCACACTTCTCTGCTGTCCTCCCTTCCAGCCAGCCCCCCGCCCCAGACCTCCCACCCCACTGGGAACCCTTCCTGTGTCCAGGCTCACACACTTCATTCCTTCTGCACTGCTCACTGAGCGCCAGCCTCAGTGCCCGTCGCCCAGGTCACCAAGCCCTGGATTCTCCCCCAAGGATGCTCACTGTGATCAGGAGAAACATTTTCTTTGTGAGAAATAGGGAGGGAATGCCTATATTTAAGTGCTAATCAAGCTTAGAGTAGGATAAAATACAGAGTTCAGAAATGACTCATTTTCCCATGCAGCCATTATTAAAAATACAGATTTAGTTCCTGCTTGAAATGCTTGGGAAACAAAATATAAAAATGTATTTTCATTTTGATAAAAACAACAACAAAAAAAGAGTGGGTATATTTTCAGAAACCTCAATTTTATCTGTGGTCATTTAAAAATGTTATTCTTTTCATTCTGAAAAACCAGAACACACTTTGTTCCACTTCGGGGCTCCCCCACAGTTCCCAGGTCTTGTCTGCAAAGCCCACATGCAGGGCGGGGCCAATGGGGTTGGCATCGCCCAAGACACTCACCGGAATCCACGGCCTGGACTCGGACTGGAGAGTCACAGCAGATGGTGAAGCCGAAGCCGTCCTTCCCCCTCGGGATGGTGATCTAGGGCACAGCCCAGCCCAGTTACTCCCAGACACCGGTCCCACGCCAAAGCCACCCTCCTCTCCAGGAGAACTGGAGCCAAAAAGGAGACCAGCCGCCCCCCACCGTCCCTGTCTCGGCCCAGGCATCTTGACCACTGGGTTGCAGGCCAAGCAGGACATCTGGGAGCTCGGGAGGCAAAGCCAGGCTAAAGCGGGAGGCCAGGTGGAAAGAGCCTTGGAAGGGCAACCCTCACCTTCCTCAGCCCAGGCGACAGGGGTCCTTTACCAAAGGGTCCTCTGTACCTGCACATCTCCACCTGGCCTGTGACCCACTGCCCATTTGGTCCCTTCCTCCCTTCCCCCAGGGCTCATGGAGCACTGGCCTGGGGCAGGCCCTGTGCCGAGGGCTCAGAAACAAAGCCCGCCTGGTTGCTGCCCTCCCAGAGGACAGATGAGGGAAGACAGGTACACGAACACTCACAACCTCAAGTCAAAGGTCACAGGGCAAGTGCTGGGGTCCTCAGGGCAGTCCATCACCAGAACTTCAAGGCGTCCAGTGAGGACGCAGGTGAGAGGCAGGTGAGGACACAGGCCTCCCTGCTGAACCTGAACTTGCCATTGCCCTCGCCGTGCCTGCTGCGGCCATGTGTAATCCCTACTTTCAGAAGCTCCCTGAAAGGGCTACACTGTCTGGATGGTCTTGACGACACAGTTATTGAGTTCCTGGTGCATGCCAGGCTCTGCCGCAGTATGAAAGGAAGCAGGAGGCCCTGGTCTCTGGCTGGCAGAGAGACACGAGTGTACACAGATCTCTCCAAAACAAAGCAGGACATGACAAGCATTATAGCAAAACACGAAGACTATGTTGGGAATAGTCCTTTGTGTTTGGTTCTGTGCACCGCAGAAACTCAGCGAGTGCTAAGTTAATGAGGACAGCCCAGCCGCATCCCACTGGCAGCAAGAAGCCGTGGGGGCACGGTGCAGCCTGCCGGCTCGGTTCAGTTCCGTCTTGCTGCGCGTCCCTCTGTGCATCCCCAACTAGGCACCAGGCAGCATGGACGAGGCCTAGCCTGGCTCACCCGAAACGCAATTCCAAGCTGCGGGGAGCAGGTGTATGAAAGCAACAGACCTAAAGGAGCAAAAGTCAGAAAAGGGGTTCAGGGGGTCGCAAGAGACTCCCTGGAAGTGAATGTGGAGTGGGCCCTGGTGAGGCACACGGAGAGCGTCCCAGGCAGGCTGGGAAAGAAGCCAGCTCAGCAAGGCTGGAAAAGGTCAAGAGCAGCCCTCTTGTCAAGGGATTGTGTCTCTTCCTTGAGAGGTTGTCCCTTCAGAGCTAGGTGCCTGGCATTCACCTGCCAGCTGTCCCAAAGGCCAGGCATGAGGAAGGGGAGGGCCAGGGGCCCAGGGTGACCAAGGCCCTTGGAAGCTGCCAGGAGGGCTCTGAGCCTCTGCTTCCCACCAGCCCTGGGCCTGGATTCAAAGCAAGTTTGTAAAACAGGAAATCTGACAGACAAGGGGAAGGGGGAGGGGGCAGGAAAATACCCTGCTCCCATAAGAATTCTGGGAAAACACACAGCTAAGACAGGAAGAGAAAAAAATGGAAAGAAAGAAAGAACAACAAACCCTGGAGTAAGTGCGGAAAGCGCAGGCTGAGGCTGAGGGAAGCTGTCGGGAACCTGGTCCGCTCCATACGACCAGCAGTGGTTTAGGGCCTTGGGGACTCCCCCTCGACCCAAGCAGAAGCTGGGATTCCGAAGTCTGGCCAGCATTTCCTCAGTCCTACCCCACGAGAGCCACAGCCCCTGTGGCCTAGGTGCAGGCTCTGGAAACAGGACCCAACACTTACGGGCTCGGAGCTAACTTTGGGGACTGGCCCCAGAGATGAATCATGTGATCCAGCAAAACAGCCTCCCATACTGGCACCTTGGTCCCCTCGTCCAGGGGCACAGTGGACTGGAGCCCCTTCTGCCTTCCTGGACACCAGCCTAAGAAGAACCAGCCAGGACAACAGTCCAAACCAGCTGGGGGTGGAGAAGGTGGGGAAGAGGAGAGGGTATTGGCAGGCAAAGGGGTGGGGCCAAGTGAAGAAAACAGAGTTACTCTCTGAGGGTCCTGAGCACCAGCCCCATGAGAAGAAAGGGCCCCAAGAGCCTGACTATCACCGAGTGGAATGCAAGGCTAGTTTATTTGATTTGGTGCGCCCGTGTTAAAGAGACAAACTGACGCCTGAAGGGAGCGAGCGGCAGCTCCCAGCTCTCAGCCCTCCTCTCAGACCTCAGGCCTCAGGGTCAGGAGGTGAGGGGAGCACCCCTGCCCTGACTCCGGAACCTCGGTGGCTCCTGGCACAGGCTGTCCTTCCCGGGGGTGGTCCTTGCTCTTTCCTGTCCTGGGCAGGAACTGCCACTGCTCCCGAATCTCAGCCAGGCCAGCACCTCACTTCTGCGCTCCTGCCTGGTTTCTGGCCTTGTTCGTGTCTAGACTTCCATCTCCAGCAGCCACCATTTATCGCGCACCTCCTGTAGGTACATACCAACTGCTGTGCCAGGTACTGTATACACAGCATTCCACTTATTCTCCCAGCATCACCCCTGGACATCATTATCCCTTTCCACTGGCAGGGAGACTGGGGCTCAGGGAAGAAGAGTGATGTGCTCCACAGCCAGAGCTGAAGAAGGGCAGCGCTGGATTTGAGCCCAGGTCTGGCAAAAGCTGATGCTCTCAACACTGCACTGGTTACTAGTGTTGTCTTGCACTTGAGCTCCAGAGCCCCAGGCCCAGCCCACACTCATGCTGGCACCATTCTGACTGCAATGGGCCCCAGTCTTCTGGCCCACAGTCCCAAGGTGACCTGAGACTTCTCGACCTCCCATTCAGGGCCTGCTCAGCCTCACCACTCCGCCACCCAGATGCCCGTGTGGCAGGCGCTGCTCTGCCTGGCTCCAGGAGGGCCGGAGGGCAGGGTGGGGTCATGCAGGGCTGGGCCGTGCAGGGCGGGAGGACTGAAAAGAGAACATGTGGGTCCCCTGGCTATGGGGCCACTACGCAGGAGGCCCCTCCGGGCATCTCCCTTGGACCCAAGGCTGTCTGTCCAAAGAAGTCAAGACCCAGCCTCCAGCCTGGTCACTAAAACACATAGTGGGACTTTTCTATATTTATTGAACACAAACCATTGCTTAGCTCCTTTCCAGCTGCGACATCCCGCAAATCTGGACAGCCCTTGCCTTCATCCTCACTGACCTTGTGGCTTTTTACAAGAAAAAACATCCATCCAAGTTTCAGAAGAGGCTCAGTGGGATCGTCAGCCCCACTCCGCCCTACATCCTAAGACTGGGGGCTGAGAGGCCAGACCCCCCAGTGAGGTTGGGCTCCAAGGCCAGAGAGCTCTGGGTCTGCCTCGAGGTGTCACTGGGGAGGAAAAGCATATCCACGGGTGATCACAGACATGGAAAATCATACATGCATACATATACACAGAAACATCCTGTCTCGCTCACAAGCACACACTGACACAGGCAGAAACGCTCACACAACCACCACACACAATGCAGAACAGGCGCTGCTGTCCCGTGGGAAGTAGGGAAAGTTAGCAAAGATACAAAGTTAGCAAAAAACGCAAAACCCCACTGCTCAGCAACTGAGCCATTTCTATTCTCAGGCTTGGGGTGCTTTTTTAACCCATACTCCCACAAAATAAAAATAACAGAAAATCAATAAATAACCTCACGAAGGTCACCACCGGGCTAGTGGTGAGGACCATGCAGAGCGGGGCCTCATCTGGCCCTGGAGCAGGGCAGTGGTTCCAGCCCCTGCCTCTGTCCCCCCCACCCCGAACCAGAAGGAACCTGTGAAGCGCAGGAGGGGACAAGGAAGGCCTTGTGGGGAGAGAAGTCTTGCTAGGGCAAGCCCCCAACCCTGACCCCCCGCAATGACACCCAGGCAGCCTCTCAAAGGGCCAAGCACCCACCTGGCGGTAGCGGCGCTCCGAGCACACCTTGCAGAGCCCATTGAAGCGGTTCATGGCTGCAGGTCCTGCCTCGGCTGCTGCCCCATGAAAACCCAGCTCTCCCCCCCAGCAGTGGGAGCCCACACTGCACCCCGTCAGCCTGGCATGACGGCCCTGGGAAGCCCGCCCCGCAGAAGAATGGCAGGAAATCACCTCTCACCTCCCCAAGCCCTGTCTGTGCTGTGTGCCTCTGCACGATAAGCCCGAAGGCTTCCTGAAACCTCAGAATGACAAGGAAGAGGGAGAGTTTTATATTAAAATTCCTGTCAACTAGTTAGTATTCCCCGGGCCCAGCGGGAAGAGGGCGCCTTTGTTCTGGCTGCATTCTCCGCCATGGGCCACTTTGTGATTGCAGTGTTCTCACCAACACCCCTGGCCGGAGGAGAACCGGGCAGAAACACGGCCCACTCTATAACAACGGTGCCTCCCCCTGCAAATCCCAGGCTCCCCACAGCAGATCCAGGGATCAACCCGGCCAAGAATCACAGCACGCCTTGGACGGTTGCACCCTCAGACACCACCTCACAGCAGAGAACATGAAACACTGGGAGTCTGAGGACCTGCCTGCCACTCAGCAGCTACTCAAAAGTCAGTTTCCTCACCAGGCGATTCAGCCTCCTCACTTTACCCACGAAGAAGCCGGGGCCTAGAGTGGTCAAGGTCACACAGCCAGGTGGGATGGAGCTGGGATCAGAACCCCATTCTTGTTCCCTGTCTTGCAGAGCAGCACCTGGTGAGCCCGGCCCCCTGACACCCACCTGAGGGCCTGTGGGAAACACCCACCCACCCACATAACCACACCCTTGATGCCACAGTGTCCCCTCGTCCAGCCCAGCTTTGTGGGGACAGTGGGTAGGTCACCCGGGCCTCTGGGCCTCCATCTCCCCATCGGCATGATGGGCAGTTAATCAGATGATTTCTGGGGACTCTGCCCTCACTCTAACAAAGCCTCCAACCACCATGCCCGCTGGCTGCGTCCTGCAGACGGCTTTGAGTGTGCAAGCCCTGGGACATTTCACGTGCCTCTGAACAATGCCCTGTGGGCTTGGGGCCCATGTGCAAAAGCAGGGCTTTCCCAAGCCACCTGGAAACCTGCAGGGCTCACCAGTCACCAGTGAGGCTTCCTGCTCACTGTCCTCTGTGCTCAGCAAGTACAGAGGGAGGGAGAAAGGTCATCACGGCTCCTCCACTGAGGCCAGAAGACAGTTTTAACCTCCTAGCGAAGCCACAGAAAACAGTAACTTTCAAGTTACTCTAATACTGTGCTATCCAGTACTGTAGCAACCAGACAACACATGCAAGGTAAACTCCAATTCATTAAAATTAAATAAACATCAGGACCTTGGTCATACTAGACACACTTCAAGTGTTCAATAGCCACAGGTGACCAGTGGCTACCATATCAGACAGCGTCACTCTAGACTGTATGCAGGAACATTCTAGAGGGCAGGACCTTTGACTCATTCATGGCTATATCTCAGCATCCATACAGATGTTCAGTAAATACTGAATCAATGAACAAGTGTATGAGCTGAGTAAATGAAAGAGAAAGTGTTTTATAGATTATAATGTAAGTATATGTAAAATATTAACGGATAAAATACCACTGTCTAATCTTCCCAACTAAGCCACATGCAGGAGGTGTGCAACGCCGTGCATTTCAAAGGTGGCCAGACCTTGCCCTGGCTGGGTGGCTCAGTTGGAGCACTGTCCTGACACCCCGACACCAAAAGGCTGCAGATGCAATTCCCAGTCAGGGCACGAACCTACGCTGCAGGTTCGGTTACCAGTCGGGGTGCGTATGGGAGGCAACCGACTGATGTTTCCCACATCAATGTTTCTCTCTCCCTTCCTCTTTCTAAAATCAATAAACATATCCTTGGATGAGCATTTTTTAAAGTGTTCAGATCTTGTTCCACATCCTGCCTTTAGTGTATGCTGGCTGTGTGGCCTTGGAGAGGGACCTACCATCGCTGAACCTGACACATCCCCCTCATCGGTGAGGCAGGAAGTGACAACCACTCAGGGGAGGCAGTGAAGATTTATAAATTCAATAACAACAGCCCCTGACACAGGGGGCTACTCGGTCCTGGGAGTTTGCTTCTCCCTGTCTTAGCTGCTGGAGAGCACTATGGATCAGCTGCCATGTCCTGCAAACAGAAGGAATTTGGGGGGATTCGCCAATCCCCACGTGAAGATTCCTCCCTAGATCCAAGTCCCGATGGAGCGAGAACCATCAGTCTTGGGTTGAGACTCTCGGCTGCTCCCTGACACTGAGCGGGCCCAACCTGAGAGGACAATCCGGCCCCAGTGCCGGAGAAAGCCAAGGGTCTGAGGGGACCTGTGGAAAAGAAGGACTCAGCTCCGAGAGATGGAAAGTCGAGAAGCCCCAGACTCCTCCACTTCCGGGCTGGGGCCTGGCTCCCTGCGCCTGCCCTGAGCATGAGTAACCAGAGAAAAGCTTAAGAAATAATCCTTTAACATGCACAGCTTGCTGAGTTGTTTCCAAGCCCCAAGTGAACCTGAGCCTCAGATGCCAAATGCTGCCGTGTTTAGGGACTGAGCAGGAGCGGGTGAGAGCCTGGAGCCGTGCTTACGTCCCTGAGTCCTGCCCAAGCTCGTCACCACCTACCTTAAGTTTCTCCCTGTCCTCCGTGTCCCCTCCTCCTGGCATTCTCAGCAGCGGGTCTGGAAGGCAACAGAACAGCATCAGAAAGTTTCTGCTGACATATAAGGGCTGGTTCCACAGACCACCTAGGGGACCAGGCCAGGGTGCCAGCGCAGGTCACTCCTGGCCGTGTGGCTGCGCAGGTCACTGCTGGCCTCCAGGACGTGGGGCTACCCGAGCCAGGGTCAGGCAGGGGCTCAGGAGCCAGGACTGCGTGTGGGAAGGACAGAACAGAGGAAGTGCGAAATCCAAGTCTCGAACCTCAGGACTCATGGCCAGGCCCATGTGCCCTGTCCACAGAGGTGAGTTCCCCCGAGGTTAGGGCAGCTGGGTGGATTCTGAGACCACGGACCCTGGGAAGCAGCATGTAGGAAGCTCCTGAAGCCATCCCTTTATGAGCTAAGGATGGGGCTGAACCACATGGGTTCAGGCCTATAGACCCCTCCAAGGAAAGTCCAACCAGATAAATAAAATAAAGGTACGTGAGCAAGAGGCTGCCTGCCACCTGCATTCTAGCAGGTACTCATGAGAAGTCCCTGGATCTGAGATATCAGATAGGACCGATATCTCAGGACTTCTTCGTGTAGGGTGACAGCTGCCACAGAACATAGGCACTGGAGCTCCTACCCAGGAAGGGAAGAAGGGGGGAAGCCATGGGACAGGGGCACGTCTGGGCAGAAGCTGAAGGTGGTGTGCACATACCTCTAAGGGGCCTCAGTCGCCGCCTGGCCACCTTCAGGTGCTTGGTCCGGCCCAGGTCCTCCCCCAGAAGGTAGTACCAGCCGCTGATCTCCTGCCACAGGGGAAGACGTGACATGCTTTGGGGTGGCAGAGGGCACAGGTCAGGTGGCCACCAATCCCCCTCAAAAAGCAGCTACTGGCGATCCTCCCTCAGAAGCAGCATCTCTGCAGAGATGGACCCTCCAGCCTCCCTGTTCCAAAATGACCTGCTGTGCCTGCACCTGCAGGAGGCCTGCCCTCATGCTACGGACAGAGCTGGTCCTCCCTTCTGCAGAATTCCCACAGCCTCTTGTCCGTGAAGAACAGTTCACTTGCACACCTGCCTCTCACACTAGGTTGTACACAGGCTCTTTGATGTGTCTACCACTGTGCCTGGTATACAGTGGGGGCCCAATAAATGTTGACAGAACAGAGGAGAAGGAAGGAGGGAGTGATGGAGATGGCAGAAAGAAGGCATCCTGAGGCTCCTGAGAAGTCTCCAAGGCAGAACATCTCCTCCCAACAGCAAATGAAGTCCAGGTTGCATTGAAAACATTTGAGACCCACACATAGGATAAAGGGTCCTCAGCCACCAACCCTAGCCTTCACTTCCAGGACATAAAGCTCAGTGACACCTGGCAACTCCATGTGGCGGGCCACCAGGACATTTCCAGGCATGTACAAAAGGAGCACGTCCCTCCCCTGCTTGAAAGCCTCCAGGTTGGGGTGCATGGCAGAGTAGAGATGGCTAAGGGACTGGCTACCAGGGGAGGTGTCGTTAGACCCCCGAGCATCCCCTCCCCCAGCCAAAAGGAAAGCTTCATAGAGGATGCTCACTCCACTCCCGGGCACCTGCTAGGCCCCAGAACACAGGACCTGATAGGTGACAGCAAGATGACCCCTGGAGCTCAGCACCAGCCTGCAAACCAAAGGGTTGCTGGTTCAATTCCCATGCCTGGGTTGTGGGCCAGATTCCCAGTTGAGGGCGTGTGAGAGGCAACCACACATTGATGTTTCTCTCTTTCTTCCCCTTTCTCTAAAAATAAATAAATAAAACCTTAAAAAAAAAAAAAAAGAGATGACTCCTGGAGCAGGCCAAAAGAAGCACTTGGCACTCCTCCTCCAGGGAGGTACCGGGAGTGCTCTGACCTCCAAGGGAGTTGCCGGTGTCCTCAGTGTCGGGTGCCAGACCCAGAGCCTTCTAACAACTGTTCTCTAATGAAAGCAAAATAAGAAGAGACCCAAACTCTTAGTCACATAGAGGACAAATACAGTATTGTCCTTCAGGCCACAGGACACCCATCTCAGTGGGGGACTACCTCACAAATAGAAGCCTACCCAAGGGTTTCCAGAAAAAAAAAACAGCGCTGGCCCAGGTGGGATGACCCTGCTAGAAGGGTCCCTGGGACCCACCTTGTCTGGAGTCAGGAGAGACTTCACCCCAAAGCTCATACAGCCGATCAGTCCACTCTGTCTGGGGGAACAACAGAGGCTTGAGTCAGAAGTCGATGATCAAAGGTAACACAGGTTGGCCAAATGCCCTGCAGTTTACATCATCTCATTTGACCTTTCCAACATCACCAGGCTGGAGGAGAGTCATTTCTCCATTTCACAGATCAAAAAACTGAGGCTCAGAGTTGGTCCCCTTCCCAAGGTCACCGGGCTAATTAGCAGCAGTGTTCCATGGGAAACCCAGGTGTCCTAGGTCATGGAACAGCACTCCTTCCATCAACCACAGAAGCTCAGAGCTGCCTCACAGGTGTTGACTATTCTGCTGCCAGTAGATCTGAAGAGCTGGTCCCCACGGGGAATTTCAGCTCCCGCGTGAGCTGATGCTGCTCAACAGAAGACAAATGTTATGGGGCCTCATGTGGTTCCATCAGCGCACAAGGCTTTGCCTTGGGTCCAGGCAGGACCCGAGTAGTCCTTGGACAGTTTTGGATCAAGATCCAAACCAACAAAAAATCACCAAGACCAACCTGACCTGGTGGCCAGCTGGACAAGTAGGCATGGACCTGGGTCAGGCCTCATGGGAGGTCACAGTGGTGACAGGCTGAGTTCAGTCAGGTCATTCTTGGCTAAGAGTAACTCAAAGTTTCTTAAAGACTGTCCACCACTAGTCCCAACAGCAGGGACTGACTGATACATTTGGCAGCTTTTAATAGTGATGGCATAGATTAGTACTAATGAAATGCAAAAAATAATCTTGCTACTATGAGAGAAAAGGAAATTTACAAGTCCGTAGTGTTTGAGAAAGACGCCCGCAAAAATATTCACAATGGCTGTATCTGGTAGGCAGGATTGAGGGAGGTTTGTTTTCTTTGGGTTTTCAAATTCTCACAGGGACGAATAGTATTTTCAAATTCTCACAGGGATGAACAGTACTTTTGTAATCAGAAAATAGTGGTATAAATGTAATGGAAAGTACTATTCTACTACAACGTTCTCTATCCTAACACTACAGTTGCTTTTTAGTTTTTCTATTCTCCTCTCTCCTGGTATATCCTCAATGCAGACCACTTCAGAGGCCGGTTTAGTATTAATAAAAAAAACAACATGGGTGTTTAGACTGGAGCACACCCCGATGGCTGACTCCAGTGTCTGAAAGATGCACATTCATCTAGCTGTTCTGTGAAGGCGCAATAGCAGAACTGAAGCTGGAGTGAGCTCCTGGATGGGCAGTGAACTCCCTGGAGATGGGCCTTTCTGGAATCTGGTGCGCGGGGGGCTGTACGAGGCTGGCAGCTGTAGCCAGGGGTGCCCACAGAACCCCCTGAGGAGCCTGTGTGAGTCCTATGCCCCAGAGCCTGCTCACAGAGCCCCAGACCCAGCAGGCTCCAGGCACACGAGTCTGGAGAAAGCACCTGCCGGTGCCTGCCCCAGTCAAGGGCCCGCGGTCTAGAAGGCCTCCATAAGCATGTATTGCTTGGATTCTCCAGAAAGGGTGGCAGCTCACCACTCAACAGTCCTAAGCAAAGCAAAGCTGGCTTCTTGGGGGTTACCAAGCCAAGTGAGGGGTGGTGATGCAGAATGCTGAGGCCTGAGTCTCACACCAGTGAGCCTGCCTTCCAAATACACAAATACATGTTCTACCCCTGGCTGAGTCCCGCCAGCTACTCTCACTCCGCTACTCTCCCCGCTCTGGCTCCCTGCCCCTATTTCCTGCAGCCAGGGTTCTCCCTGCTCCCCACTCCCACCATACAAGGCCATATCAATAATCCACCCAAAGAGGACCACATGATCACCCCAGTAAATCAACCCTTCCATATCTCCCTCCCCAGTCCACTACCAAAAACAAATGCTCCTCCCTCCTGGCAAGCAGCCGAGTCAGCACTAACAGGCAGAGGCAGCGGCAGGGACCATCACTTGGGCAGACGCTGATCTGAGCTGTCGTTCCAGAATAGCTCTCATCAAGGCTTTGCCAAAGTCCTCATCACTGATTTAATGTTGTTTGTCAACACACGCAAGAGCAAGCCAGCTGGTATCCAGGTGCCCACGCTGCCTTGCTATACATTTTTCTCCACACTGGGTATGGCTGTAACTTTGAGTCTCCAGGTCCAGTGCTTTAGCTACAGTAAAGGCCGTCTCTCCCTGCTCTTTGGTAAGTTCAATTTTCATTCCCCAGTGCTTAGAGAACACTAAATGGTGAATAGACTCCTGTGAGCTTTACTTCCTGCTAAAGGGCCTCCAATGATTTTATAATAATGCAGGCAGAGTAAATTGTTACAATTAATGTTCATAAGCAGGACCCTTTCTCTAAGTGTTCTTCAATTGGGCACTTCTTAAGCCTGCTTTTGAAAAATCTTTGCAGGAAAAAAAAAGACTTTTATGTGCAACCTGAGTGTACAGCAATATTCTGATCAGCTTATAAAATCAGGAACTAGCACTCAGTCTAGAGACTGCCTGAAGTTTTGCAAGACACAGAGGCTCAGGGACCAAGCCGTGGTTACTTCTGAAGGCCAAACCCGGAGCTCTGGGTCCAGTGCATTCAGTGAAGGCTTGACAAATGGGTGAATCCATCATGCCCACAGTTGGCAGGCACTGGGCAAGGAGCCGCAGCATTAAGGAAACAAGACAAACACGCAGGAACTTAAATAGCAATACAGGGGATGTCACTAGACTGGCGAGACTGACAGATGAGCAGTACAGGCAACACATGATGAAACCTCGAGAAGGCAAGCGGAGGTTTAGAGCTGGGATGCTTGAAGAAGACCTAAAGAGTTGCTTGCGCCAGAGAGAATGAGAGGAAGCGCATTTCGGGCAGCGGGAACAGTCCACACAAAGGCTCAGAGGTGAGGCTTCATGAAACACTCGTGGGGAACAGTACTTGGCTCAGTTTACTTTCAAGAATAAGGTAGGAGACACACTGCAGAACAGACGGCATTCTCCTGAGGGAATACACTTTAATTCTCTTTCAGGGACCTTAAACTATTACCGTTGCAGGGTTACTCCACTTAATCTCAACTTATTTTTAATTTGATGGGTTAAATTGAACACATTTTTCCCTTCTTTTGTTTTTCTTTCATTAGGCTCAGTCACCATCTCTGGTTGCAAGCTCTCTAAGGTTACAGCACTGACACTGTACTCAGCACTGACCCAGCGCCTGGCACCAAGGTCCTGTTCATGAGAGAAGGTTAAAGGACAGCACACACATGGAGGACCCAGGAGCCGCGGGACAGAGCCAGCTGACGCTCCGTAACTGTGGGTACTACCAACACAAAAGATTGTGTCCTTCAAGCGGATGTGTGTTGCTGTTGTTTGACTGGGTACATAACACTAAAATCCTCAGCTTGTTCTCCGGCCACGAGTTCCGAGAACACTGCGGCCATTCGCTTCAGTTTGGCTTTGCCATGTCATCGAACACAACTTTGAAACAGCTCAGTTCCTCAGTCAACGACATCAGAGAATTACTGTTAATTTTTAAAGATGATAATGTCCTTGTGGTTTTTTAAAGCCATCTTTTACAGATATATAGAGATGAGATGGTAGAATATCTGGGATTTGCTTTAAAATTATCCACTGGAAGAGGGGAAGGTGGGTAGGGACATAGACAAAACAGCACTGGCCATATATTGATAATTGACAAAGCCGAGCTATGAAGATGAGGGTTTATTATATGATGTTTTCTACCCTCCCACATGTTTGAAAGTGTCTGTAATTTCTTAAAATCTCATGCAACCTGAAAGCTGAAAGTCGCCTTAGAGATGGGTGCATTTTACAGATGAGGAAACTGAGGCCCGGAGTGAGGAAGGGACTTGCAGTGGGCTCACAGGGAGTCTGAGCAAGGCCAAAGTCCGCCCTGAGCCCAGTTCTCCTCGGCCCCCTCGTGACCACCGTGAGGAGCTGGAGCAGCCAGCCCCTCCCCCAGAGCTTCTTTGCAGGTCATCTCATTTTCCTAATACAGGTTATAGACATCACTGGGAGGATCGTGAGGATTCACGAAGCAAATGCTTCCCTTTGATCTCCTGTCAGCTGCAAAATGTACCTGTCACATGTCCGGCTGGATGGCATATAAAACCACATTATCCACGCCATGGGAGGTAGTCCGAGGCCTGGGGAGCGCATGTTCTGACGCAGGAAAAGTAAGGTTTTGGAGCCCTTTTTCACTGGCGTGAGGTGGTCATGTGCACTGCAGTGTGGCGACCAGCACATGAGTTCAGTGCAAAACACCTGGATTTGCACCTTGTTCGCACCACGCTCTCACTGTGCTGTCTCGGGCTAACTACTTAACCTCCCCATGCCTCTGTTTCCTCACCTGTAAAACAGCAACAGTAATACCTACCTTGTACGATGTTATGAGGACTAAATCAGATAATGCATGGAATATGCTTAATGTCCACGATCGTGGACATCATAAGATGCTTAATAAATATCAGCTGTTATATATCCTCAGGCAAGTTCCTGAGCCTTCACAAGCCTTCACTTTCCTCTTCTCTGAGGAAGGGACAATAACGATCCCTACCTCTCAAGGATGTTATGAGGACTAAATGAGGTAAAGCATGTAAAGTGCTTGGCACAGAGAAGAGTTCAATAAATGTTTGTTTCCTTCCTCCAGTAATTGTCTTTCATGTTGATAAATTAAATGTCCATCCTTCAAAGAAGCCCAATTCGATTTGAGAGCAGGGAGCAGGGCAGAAGTTTCCTGCACGCGCTCGTCTGCCTCCTCCAGCTCAGAGACTCCTGGGTCGATGATGGATCAGCGAGTGCTGCGCCTCCCGCAGGCTGAGCCGCCCAAGCCGTCCTGTGCTGCTGGCAGCTTTGGTTGGCAGGGCCCTGGGTTCTGCAAGCAGGCCTGCCTGAGCCTGCTCTGTCCCTCGAGCTTTGGGTTGGGACTGTGACCACAAGTTCGCCTATGTTTTGTTAATAAGGAATCTCACTTTCCCAAAATAGGCAACAAGTGGAGACACTCGCTGCCTCTGTCACGCTGCTGCAGGGTGCTGACTCATTCGGGGCTGCACTGTCTTTTCCAAAAACTGCGAACTGCGTCGCTGCCTTTTCCAGCTGCTCTCTGGGCGTGCTCTGGTCTCCCAGAACGGGGCATGGGGTGGCGGTCACGGTGGGCGGAGCCACAGCTCCCAGTTTGGTGTCTGCCTCCAGCACCTGCTCCACTCCTTGCCTCCACCCAGCGGGCGGGCCAGATGTTTCTCTGACACTCTCCCTTGGCTCCATCAGGGCTTTCCCTTCAAGACCCTTTCCCTTGGTCCTTGGCCCTCACTTTCCTCCTGGGCAACCTCACCTGCTCAGAATCTCACCCACTGAGTTGGTGGTCATGGCTCTCTCACCCCCTCCCTGGGCACAGACCTCTGTCCCCTGGGCTCCAGGCAGCCAAGGCAGTCCCCCCTCAGGGCTCTGCCCCACTGCTCTCTAGGTACCTCCATCTCACCCTGTCCAGAGCTGGTTCCCTTCTCCTGCAGGACACTCTGGCTTTGCTGGGGACACCGCCCATTGCCCAGGAGTCATCCTTGACTTCTCCCACTGTTCTCACACTCAAAACACCACTAAGGACTATTGCTTTATCTCCTGTGTCCTGGGTCCCTTCCCTCCTCTCTATCCCTAAAGCATCTCTCTTACAGATCTCCCTAAGAATCAACCAGCTCCTCCCCAACCTTCTCAAGACCTACCAGAAGGACACATTCGTCACTCCCTTGCTCAACACCCCTCAGGACATCCCCATGGCCAGATTCCCAAACACCAAGCTGGCTGTGTGAGGTTCACCCTGAGAACTTGTGTACATGCAGATTCCTAGGCCCTGCCCATGAAGGTTCAGTTATGGCACCTGAGAACCTGTGTTCTTCACAAGCATCCCAGGCAATCTGGATGCATATCCAGAATTGAGAAGCACTGGCCCATAGGAGAAAACCTGCATCATCATCATCATCATCATCAATCATCATGAGATTAGGATTGGGCCAACTTCTTCATCTGGTCTCTAGCCAGGTCCTGCTTTGTACTTGACTCACCAGTGAGCTTGCAGATCCCTCCACTCTCCTGCCCTGCCCTGCCCCCTCCCCTTTGATTCTTTCTTCTGTCCTTGGACTTGAGCGTCGGAAGACATACAGGGTTGAGAGTGAGGCCTTTGGGTCTAAATGCCTGGGTTCCTGTCCTGACTCTACGGTTCAGTGGCTGTATGACCTTGAGCAAGTTACTTCCTTCTTAACTTCAGTCTCCTCTTCTGAAAACTTAACACAAAAACATACTCCTTTTAGAGTTATTTTCAGAATTAAATGAGATGATGCACAGTTAACCCCTGGCTTGTGCTCAACACCCAGTAAATGGTTGCTCCCATTATCAAGGTGATGTCGCCCTCCTGGCCCACACTCCCAAGTCTCTATCAGTGATCCTCTGGAGAGCGGGATGGAGGTCTCTGATTGACCCCATGTGTCCCCATTACCTACTACAGTGTTGCACACTGTACCTAGGAAATGACGCCTCAATGAATGAGGCCTACGGTACCATAAACACCATTCCATGATAAAAAGTAGATTCTCTATTAAAAGAGAAATCTTTCATAATGGAAGTTAAATAAGGCTCAACTTTCAAAAGCATACGAGCTAAAAAATTTAGCATACTAAAAAGCATTCAACCTAAAAATATCTTCTGGGTCTAAGCAGGTGAGTTGAGCCGATATTCATTCACCTAAGCCCATGTTTGCTCACCATTTGGTTCTCCAATTGTTGACAAATGTTACTGGCCATAGAGCCTCCCAGATTCCTCAGGAAGCACCAGGTGATGAGCTCCTGCTGCTCACGGTCGGCCATGGCCATCAGGCATGTGCTCTCAGCCCTTTCCTCGCAGTGGCTCCTCACCCCCACCTGCCCAGAAGGCCTTCCCTGCTCTACACTAAACGCTGTTACTAGTGACCCCAGCTGGCCTCCTGTGTCCTGAGCTGCCTGCAAGATCAGCCTTTTGGAGTCCCCTACACACAACTTCTGCACCTCCTACACTGGCCTCCTCACGGCAGCCCGAGCCACTAGGCATCGTCCTGCTTCCTGGCCTTTGCTCATACTGTGCCCTGCCTGGACTGCCCTTTCCAACCTTCGCTCCTTGTCTCATTCAGGACCTCTGCACCAAGTTCAACACCCCCCTTTCTGCATGAAGGCTTCCTTAATCACCTCAGCCCACAATGAAGTCTCCCTCTTCCCACATTTACTGTTCTATTACTCATCTTATTCTTTTATTCATTGAACCAATATTCACTACACTTCTATGTGCTAGGCACTGGTACGGTGGTGACTAAGAGAGAACTGGGCCCATTTTTCATGGAGCTTCTACTCCTGCGGACTGAGCCTGTGGTGCTATTATTGCAATTTGTCTCCACCCAGTGCCTGGTGTCCCTTCCAGGAAGCAGGTCCCTTGAGGGCAGAATGCAGGCTAGCTGGCATCCCTGGTGGCCAACATAGTGCTCTGCTGATTCCAAGAGCACAGCAAATGCTCTTTGATAACATGATAGCTTTGCCACTCACTGCTACTCACCCACTGACTGAGCCCCTGCTGTTCCCTGGCCACCTGGCTGCCACCCCCAGGTCCAGAGCAGGATCTGTGCTCCAGCCCAGTAGTTCCCCTCACCTGGAGTCACCTGCCCGGTTCCACACAGTGACCAGGAGGCGCTTCTGTTCATCTTCCTCTTGGACGGGACTGTAAAAGCAGACCAGACGGTCAGAGTGTGCACAGGGCTGAGCCGCAGGCCAGACTCATGGAGTCGGACACAACTGCCACATCTGGACATAACCTACACACCCAGCCACAAGGAGCTGGTTAAAGAGGCCGAAGCCCAGATAGGGTGGGAGGTGAGTATTAACAGGCAGAGGAGAGTTTATATTGTGTTGTTAAGGACAAAAGGGAGGTCACCACACAGTATTACAGAACAATTCCATTTTCATAAACACACACACACAGTCGTACACACCCACACAAATTCAAAGATCCGAAAAGAAGTAAACCAAGACATATCAGTGAGTAGCAGAGCTAGGGGAATTTTCTCTTTTCTCCTTTTGGCTTATCTATAACTTCTACTTTTCTACTGTAAGCAAAATTACCCTGTGGGGTTTGAAAAATAACAAAATGTTATTAGTTTGCACTAATAGGAAAATTTAAAATGTCCATTACCTTCCCACTGGCCCCAGAGTTCAGGGATGGAGGGAAGAAATAGTAGCAACAATGATAACAAGACAACAACAACGCATCAGTATTACTGTCTCATTGACACTCAGCTCTCTCAGGTTGGAACTATTATTAACCCCGTTTTACAAACAAGGAAGCCAGGGCTCAGAGAGGTTAGCAAGTTTTAAACGAAGGGAGGGAGGCAAAATTCCCTAACTTGGAAAATTCCTTCTGCTAAAGAAGAAAGCTTGGCCCAAGGCACAGTGGGAAACTGCCGGCCGCTCAGGGGCCGCCAGCCTCTGGCTGGGCACTGTAGGTATGAGAACCAGCCAAGGGAGACCTTATCACTGTGGACCTCACGGCCGGGCCAGGTGCCAGGGATGCAAGGACACGGTGAATGAGAAAACAAAGGCATCCTTTAGAAGTCACTGTTTTTCTGCTGAGATCTAGTTCTAGATTTGGCAAACAGAGCTTTTCCAGATAAACACTCCCTTCCTTCTCCTGGCGAGGGCCCGGCTGCCAGACTCTTACAAGAAAAAGTGCTCGTGGAAGACTGGGTCCCTGCAGCCTGGAATGGTCTGAGTCTTCTGATGGCGTCGTCGGTGATCTTCAGGGATCAAAGAAATCTTGAGTTGGAGAAAGGTAAGCATTAGATGATTACTTGTGGCCATGGAGCCACCTAAGCCCGCAGGCTGACTCTGCACATCTCCAGTCAAAGGCTCCCCCAGCCTCTGCAGAGGACAAGGCTCGGGCAGAGTCCTCAGTCCGATGCTGGGGAAGAATGAGGAGCCTGGGCCTCCGGCATTGGAATCAGACACCAGCACAGGGCCTCGCAGTGGGTGGGACCAGAAAGGCAGTCACAGGCCCAGCCAGAGATGGGCCACAACTGGACCATCTCTGCTCCTCCTCCAAGCAGGGGGATTGCCTGCAAAGCACGGGCCTCCTCTCGTCTGAGTTCCCAGCAGCTGTGAGTGAGTGCTCCCTCCACAGGAGGCTCCAGGTTACTCTGCCGAGGCCCCCATCCCATGCTCTCGCCCTAGTGCCTTCATCCCCTGCCTCAGGCTCCCACCCTGCTCCAGACCAAGTCCTTGTCCACAGGGACCTCCGACCAGCCAGGGAGCTTCTGGAACAGTGCAGGGAAGTACATCAATCCCTGCCCCTGGCATCAAGGCTGCCATACTGTGGAGGTGTCTGGCCTTTGGCTCTGGCTAGGAGTAGCACCCCCAACACATGGGGCCTCCGTCTTCACTGCAAGGGCCCCACTTAGATGGAGCCACCGGCCCTCAGAAACACTCCCTCCACTCCTTCACTCAAACCTGGCCATGCTGCCTCTGGTCTGGGGGAGGAGAGGGGTGAAGGTGTTGCTTTTCATGAGAGGGCCTGGGGTTGTCTGTGCATTTCTACCATCCACATGCTCACCTGTGTGGATGACTGAGGTCACCCAGAAGATTCCCACTTTTGTGGGGAGCCCTAGGGACCAAGCCAGGCTAAGGGAAGGGGTCTGTCCTAGCTCAGGGCCCCACCCCTGGGCAAAATAAAGGCCTGCTGACCAAATGATGAGGTTACCTCAAATGGCCCCAGGCCCACAGAGGTACTGGGACCTTGGGACTCAGTCCAGTAGGACCTCTCACCACCCCCACCCCACCCATACCCACCTCCATTACATACCTTCACGTAGGGATCACAGGTGCCAGGCTTTTTGCTCATGAGGCCTTTGCCTTCCATGACTAAACAAGGAATTAAAATGTCGGGGTCAGAGGGTGGGAAAGATTGTTATCGGGCCCTTAATCTGCACGACCACCGTTGGATACTAATCCCTCTCCGGTCTAGTCCACTCCTGCCATCTCGCACACTCAGGCGGCGCCCTCACTGAGGCATTACAGGGCACACTCAGTCCCAATTCTTGCAGCTGGAAGGGAACATGCAATTCATTGAGTCCAAGCCCTCACTTATGTGAAAGACGAGGCTATGAGGGGGGGCCCAAAGACAGTAAGAAACTTGTCCAAAGTCACAGAGCAGTGGGATGACAGATCCATGCCTCTTGGCTCTGCAGGCCAGCGGTTCCTCCACCACAGACCACCTGCCAGGAACAGAGGGGCTGGGCTGGAGAGCTTGCCCTGCACTGCGGTGCGTGCTGTGGCTGACGGACAGTATAGCCTGCCAGGTAGAATGTGGCTCCTGAGGTAGACAAATCGGAGCATGGATCCCAGCCGGACCACGTACTAGCCACGTGAGCCAGAGCAAGAAGTTTCTCCTCTCTGAGAATGAGCTTGCCATTTTTTAAATGGGTTTGTGATAATCATGTCTGCTTCACAGGATAGTTGTGCTGATTAAATGAGACCATGTGTCCAAAGTGGTCAATAGATTGGCCAGCAAATTGGTAATTACTCAACAAATGTTTGTGAAAGAAAAGAATAACAAAGACAGGTAAGGGATTGGTGAGGGGTTCAGGCCTGGTCATGAAAGCAAGCATGGCCCATTTGTCTGCGTTCTGCAGAAATCGGCAGACCTGACAGAAGCTGAGCCTCTTTTCCAATTTCCCCTGTGCTCAGTTTTGATTAAGCCCTGGGGTTTGGCTCAGATGAAAGTCCTGCAGTCTGAGACATGAGGCCTGGGAAGCCAAAGAGGAAGGGGGCGGGGGGGCAGGCTGGTTGGGATTGAAGGCCTGAGACTGGGGAGAAGCCAAAGCAAACTGTGCAGGACAAATGAAGTGGTGGAGGCCAACACACATTTTGCAAAAACTGTTTGCACAGCTGGAGTCAGGATCTGGCGAGCAAAGAACCCCGCTCTGCTGGTCCTTGGGAACTTCACCTTGGATCCCCCAAGGCCAAGACCCCACCCCTGCTGGTCCAGGCTGCCTGGTATCCTAGTGACTGTCCCCTTGAGGGTGTGGTCCCTGAGGGCAGGATCCAGGCCAGATGAGCCCTGGCTCTCCCTGGCTCTCAAGGGATGCACTCCCATGCCGGGCAGATCACAGTGACACAGTGCAGCCAGGGCTGTGATGAGGTCACACAGGAGGAAGCAACAAAGTCAGCCCGGGCAGATAGGTCGGGCATGATTCCTAGGAGGGAAAACATGAGGGTAAATGAGCCTTCTTTCTGAGTCTTAATGACAATGAAGGCAGGCATAGGTCTTGCAAAATCAAAGAGAGATTTATTTTTCAAAAGGAGTTCCAAAAGAAGGCAGGCTGTTCCAGGCAGTAGGAACAGAGGGTGCAAAGGCACAGAAGCATTGGCAAGCATGATGCATTCAAGAGGGTTGCATGTCACTGAACTGAACAGGGGGTGGATGGTGCCTTTAGCAGCAAGAGTCAGGGAAGCTGGAGAGACAAGCAGGGCCTGCTGGGCCAAACAGAAAAGCCCAGGTAGAGGGGACCATAACAGAAGCTTGATAACTTATTTGTGTGCTGGATGGAAGGATGAACCAATGGGTAAACAGACAGGTAAAGTAAAAAGTCCTCTGGGTGGCACAGAGGACCTTCATCGCCTGGCCCTGGCTCACTCCTCTACCCCATCCCATGTGCCCCAGTCATTTTAAACAGTTCTTCAGATGAATCATGTTCTCTGTGACCCCTCTGTACTTGCCGCTCCCCCCCCACACACACACGGAATGCCTGGCCTTCCTGCTCCCTTCTGCCTGGCTCAGTCCTGTTCCTCCTTCAGGATAAACTGTGGGCATCACCCTCTTTGCCAAGTCTTCCCTGGCATCCTATCAGCACCGCCTAGACAGGGAGCAGTGCCTCGCTTTTGTGTCCCCACCCCCAAGCCCACAGCCAATGATCAATTATTATTTTTGGAGTGCACAGTTTCCTACCTTTTTTAACAAACACTAGAACAGAGCTTGCATGGTGGGCACTGGCCCAGGTGTGGTATTAATCCTAACTCCTTTCATCTTCACAACAGCCAATAAGACGGGGGGTGCTATTACTGCCATCTGACATATGAGAAAGCTGAGCTTGCCGAAAGTCGCTCAGCAGGAAAGCAGCAGAGAGGGAGGACTGGGAAGCTTTTCTGGGGCCCTGCTCCTCGGGGCTGAGGGTGACCTGGACGTGCCCAGGAGCAGCTCCAGCCGGCCAGGGAGAAAAGCCCCCTGTGTGGACTCCATCACATCAAGGGTGAGGCCAGGGGAGGGTCCTAGAAAGAGTGCCAAGTGAATGCCTACGTTTTTTCAATGGACGCATGGAAGGACACTGTACAAAGATGAGAAAAGAAGCCTTGGCCCAGGGTAACACCACCTCCAGGCAGGAGGCCGAGCGGCCCACCCCTTCCCTGGTGGACCTGGCGTGCAGCCATACTCACTGTGGAGCAGCAGAATCCGGGCCTGGGCATCGATGGACAGCTTCAGCTGACCTAAGGAAATAACAACAGGAGAATGACTCTGTCTCATCTCCTTGTAGGGGAAAAAATAGAGTCACGGTAATGAGAATGCTCTTTCGTGCATGTGAAGCTCTTCAAAGATTCACACATTCTCTGGGTAGGAAGGGAGCTCAGAAGCCACCTCACCATGTCAGAAGTCCTTCCCACAATACTCTGGCAGTGGTGCTCTAGCTTAGACTTACACCCCTCTGGGAATGGGAAACTCATTACTTTACAAGGTAGCCCAAAACAAAACATCAGGTCATCCTCACAGATCCCCAGTGGCCCTCCAGCATGGACAGAGGTGAGGACCACACTCTTCTTCCTCAGTGACAGGTTGAAGATCTTCTCTCAGTGCAAAAGATTCTTTCTGGAACCTCAAGAACCTGCTGAACTCAATCCACCCACTGAATATGCACTGGGGGGGGGCAAAGAAGGCGGGCAGGACCCCCCAGCCTGTAGCAACCTTACGCATCAACCAGAAAACCCTTGCATCAGCTCCACCCATGACAACCCTGTGTAGCAATCATCTGCTTCTGCTTGATCACCTCCAGTGATGAGAAGCTCATGTCCTGAAATGGGAGGCCTTTTGCTTTTGAGATAGCTCTGCTTGTTCAGTGCTCCACTTTATTGAGCCAAGAGTGGCCTCTCAGTGACTTTCATTGACTAGACCTCGTTCTGCAGTGTGGGATCCCTCCTCTAGACCAAAGTTTAAAATCCTTCCACCGTCCCTCATGGCACAGTGAGACATCCCTCATCACTCCGCTGTTCATCTTGGGCATATCCCGTGGAACTGGGGCGGTAACTGGGGCTTGTGCTCTGATGCTGGCTGGAGGAAGGCCAGGCAGGGTTTGGAGAACGGAAGGGAGGGAAGCTTCGTGTCTTCCACCTCTGGAGCCATCCACCAACCTCTGTGAGCTAGCAACCACTTGCTCCTCACTCTTGGGGATATTTAAGCTACAAGCCCTACGAATCCAGACTCCAACAAACCCTGGCTCATATCTCCACCGATCAGAGACCCCTGCTGCTCTCCTCCCCAGACACTGATCACAGAAGCCCATGAGGCCTGTCCTCTCTAGTTCCAGCACCAACTAATCTCCTCTTTCAGAGCCACAATGTCCATGGCTGCGACAAGGAGCTAATTACAGGGGTTGTCGCACTCTCCGAGGTGTGTGGGGATCAGATAACGCTGGAGGGGGAGGAGGTCCTTGGATGAAAGGCGCCAGGAGAATCCGTGGTATTATTAGCTCAAGGACTTGGCAACCACCACTCTGGGACTCCCTGGCGTGGAGAAACCTCCTATAAAAACCGTGTCTGATCCAGTGTGGGGCGGGAGGGGGAGGCTGGAAACGAACAGGGTCGAGCAGTCACTGGCTGGATCTCAGCTACCGAGGGGCACCTATGTTTATAACACAAAACATTTTTTTCCTGAAACCTTCCAACATAACAGGTCACTAATTCCCTATGACAAAAATTTGCCAGCACCTGCACCAAGTCCTGAGTGAGGAAGAGCAGATCTGAACAGCCTGGTGCCTGCTCCCGGGAGCTCACAACACAGGGGATAGACAAGGGACGGGCAAGGCCCCGGGTGGAACTGAAGAGGAGGATGGGCATGGGGTGAGGACCGACTCAGAAATCAGGTGAGTCTGCCTCTGTCCATGCAGCTGCCCTCCAGGCCCTGCCAAGCAGGTCCCTTCGGGAACAGCCAGCGTGCTCTACACCCTGTCACAGCAGAGAAACCAAACCCAGAAGCGCAGGCTCAATGCAGAACAGCCTCAACACAGGACACACCCTGCCCCAGTCCATCCTAGGGCTCATAGACAAGGGCGAGATGGAAAATGAGATGTTTCCTTCAGCCATGTCCATCCTCTGCATTCTCCTCGCTTACCCATTCCATCAAATGCCCGAGGCCCCTGAAGTCATCTTGCCCATCCTCCTCATTCGGTAGCCAAATAGACATGACCAATGATGGGAGGTGACTTGCCTTGGGCCCAGTGTGACCAGAGTGGGTGGAGCCAGAACTTGGAATAGAATTCTGCCCCAGCTCCAGCACCGTTTCTTGGGCCCCGGCCCATCTTCCAGGATACTCACAGCCTTCTAATGGCCCCACTGCATCTGCCAGTGTGACCCTGAGGTTCAGGGGCAGACAGAGTCATCAGGCATGGGACCATGTGCCACAGCTTTGCTCGAGAAGGTAAGAGAAAGCCAAAGAGAGGGCAGGCTCCAAGAAATGTACCCAAGTCTACAAAAATAAGTCACTAGCTGGTCTAGGCACCAGCTAATTGAGCCCCTCTCAAGCCCTCCAAATTTCTAGTGTTAGCAACAACTCCGCTTTCTCCCCAGGCCAAGAGTGTGGCCTATGAGCATACCCAGGAATGTTCAGGCTAAAAGGCTGGAAGTCATCCTCATCAGGGTGTTCAGGGGCCCTGGGAAGAGCGTGCCCCCCATTCTCATGGGGCTGCAGTTGGGCACCAACTCTGTCTGCCAAGGGTGGCAGTAATGGGTACCCAGAGAGGCTACAGGAATGTACCAGAGTCCTGGGGCACAGAGGCAAAGGAAAAATAGGCGGGGCCCCATATAGCGGGAAAAGATGAGAGTGGATGAAAGCGAGCTTCAAAAAGTGCTGAAAAGGCAAAGAACCCAAATTCTGCTGGGCACAGCATTTGGGGAGTCCAGACTCACTGAGCACTGAGGGAAGAAAGATATAGAAGCTGACTAAGGAAATTCAATGTGGCACACGGCCCTCATGGTAGAGGACCTCAAGAAGATGAATTCTGACTCTCAGGACACAGTCGGAAAGAGGCACACTCTAGAGTAAGTCCTAGAGAGAGGCCCTGCCACCCCTGGGTGTCCAGAGAATACATCTATGAGGGACTTGTCTGCCTAGCATAAAGTCGTCTCAAAACCCTATTCACTCCAAACGATTCCCATTTAAGAACTGTCATGTAGTTCCCTGGCTGGTGTGGCTCAGTGGATTGAGTGCAGGCCTGCCAACCAAAGGGTCGCAGGTTGGATTCCCAGTCTGGAGCACATGCCTGGGTTGCAGACCAGGTCCCCAGTAAGGGGAAATCGAGAGGCAACCACACACTGATGTTTCCCTCTCTTTCTCCCTCCCTTCCTGTCTCTAAAAATAAATAAAATCTTAAAAACAAATAAGCAAACAACAACAAAAAACCCTGCCCTGTGTTAAAAGGCACAGAAAAGGGGATAATTTGGGGGGATAATTTCAGGACAAATGTAAAAAGGAGGCTGGGTCTGTGTGCAACTGGCCAGCCCCTCCCTCCCTGCATTTGTGGAGACAAGCCTATACCTTGAGTTGTGTTTGCAGGAAGGAGGGAGGGAGCCTAGCCAGCTGCCAGGCACCCCTCTCTCCATGAACCCCCCCAACCAAACAGCCGCCTGATTAAGGCTCTGAAAGGGCCGTGCGTATTCATCGATTGCGCTTTCTGCCCTCTAAGGGGGAAAGGGTAGCAAGGCTGCCGTGGTGTGGGGAACTGGAGCCACGTGGCTTCTGGGATGTAGCCCTGGAGAACTTCACGTGTCTGTTGTTTTGAAGAGGGGGAATCTTGAGTTCCATTAGAGGAGCAGCCCTGGCTTTTGATGGTGCCCGCTGGCAGAAAGGGACCCGCAGAGCAAAAGCGAGCAGGCGGCTGCTTGCGGTGGAATAGAAATCAGGATGGGTCAGTTCGACCACTTCCACCCGACTCCCCGCTTCCTTCGAAACCTGGCATTCCTGTGGTTCCCCCAGCGGTTGCTCCTTTCGGGGGCAGATTGCTCTGGCCAGGCCAGGTCCGCTAACATCTTGACTGCAACCCCCACGAGTGATCCTGACCAGAATCCACCCAGCTAAGCCATTCGCAAATTCCTGAATCACAGAAACAGGGAGATAATAAATGCGTGGGTTTTTTAAAGCCAACAGATAGTGGGATAATTTGTTAGGAAGCAACAGATAACTAATATAAACCCACGTTGCCTCCATGGTTCGGCAACATCATTCTGATCTCGATTCTGAGGCAATTTTTCAATTTTAGAATTTGTCCAGAAAATACAGTTTTAGGAGACTTTTTGGTTTTGGTTTTCTTAATAATAAAACACTTTGATGTATAACCCATGACAACAGACAACAGTCTGAGGGAAGAGGGAAGAAGGAGAGGGGCCGGAAGGAGGGGGATAAAGAGAGAAAAATGGGAACAGGAACATCTGCAACAGGGTCGACAGTAAAAATTTTAATACTAAAATAGTAAAGACTTTTCATAGATTTAAAGTATACTATTTGTTACCACTACGACTGCAAAATCTGAAATTGTCCCGTATTAACCCCAGGACATCCCAGCACACTCAGGAAAACGCTTCACCTGTAGAAGAAAAGGTGTTCTTTCTTTTTAAAGAACAGTGTTCTTTTTTTTAAAGATTTTATTTATTTATTTTTAGAGAGAGGGGAGGGGAGGGAGAAACAGAGGTAAAGAAACATCAATGTGTGAGAGATACATCGACTCATCAGTTGCCTCTCACATGCCCCAAACTGGTGACCTGGCCCACAACCTAGGCATGTGCCCTGACTGGGAGTCGAACTGGTGACCTTTCAAGTTTTCAAGCTGGCACTTAATCCACTGAGCCACATCAGCCAGAGCCAAACGGTTTTCTTTTGTATAGATTTGTGTATAATACTATAATATATAAAAATGCACATTACTCTGCCTTTCACAATTTTCCTCTAGATTTTAATTTTTAATCACATATACAGTCATATCATTTTAATTCCAAATTGTCAGTTTTACCACATTTTATCAATTACTCAGCATCCTTATTATTTTTATTACAGACTTTTTTCCATAGTCAAGTGTTATTTTATAATGATGAGTGTCTGTTATGTGCTTGTAGATAGATTTAAGTCACACAATGAAGTCAATAATTCCTTCATTATTACATATTTGTGGCATTTTTTTCACTGTCAAAGTTTCCCAAGTTTAATATGGAAAACACAAGAGAGAAAG